ATATAATTTTCTAGTATAATTTAATTAAACTTTATGTAAGAAAATACTAATTTCAAAGGGAACGACTACAATATCGCACCAAAAATTATAATTTTTTAGCACTAAATTATAATTTTTTTGAAGTGTACATTATAATTTTAAAAGGTATAATCGATCATGAAAGGTTGAGATCGATACCAACAACTCATGATCGATCACGATGATGGTGTTATGACCTTCAATTGAGCAATTATAACTTAACATTTCAAAGATATAATCTGAAATATAAAACAGTTCAGTCTTTAATAATTTTATCTGACGATTTCAAATAGATTCATCCAACAGTTATTAACATCCCTCTCAAAATCATTCATATATACACCGTCTTTTTAAATATGAATTATTCCTAATTTTATTATAAAAAATAATAATCAGCAGTATGATATTGAATTTTTTTTTTCTCGGTATCGTAGGCTTTTCCAATTTTCCAATAGTAGATGAAACTTTAAAGATAAAGAAACAGTGTTGGAATTCCTAATATCCATGCTCAGCAATATTGGCCACACGTGTATAAAACGAACGGTGCCGATACACCCAACCACATCACATATTGATCCCGTCCAAATCACGGATCACACAAATGACGTTGTTCGTAACCAAAGCAGCTACGACGGCATTTTCGTCCTTACAAATTAAAGACGAGGACCTTTTAGTCATTCCGTCCTCTTAAAATCAAAAATTCATCACTAACGTCACTCGTGATGTGTTATATAATAACAGAAACATCCCTTCTACTTTTGATAATATTACTGACTCCCACTGTCATTAATCTTCAACTAACTTTTAAGGACAAGTTCCAATTAATAATAATTGAGCAATGTTATTATGACATAGTTTAAGGACATAATGTAGTGTGACTAATGAAGTGATAGTAGAATGCATTTTATGCTGCAACGAGTCTCATGATTAAATACATTCCAATATCTTCTATAAATTACAATGTATTATGTTCCAATAACATTAGTAATATTATATTTACCAAAGTTTTCATTCTAAGTGATGTGATACAATCTTCATTGTTGAATTTTAATATGATTCACTTATTTTGATGGTGAAAACAATGTCACATTACTTAAGATGAAAAACTTGGTAAGAAATCTTGATAAACATAACATTGTTGGTGATCAAACTCAATTGTCTTTTTGGAATCCTAGGCATGGTAGCACAATATACCAATGCTCAATCCGCACCTTCACTTGAAGGGAGTGACTCAATCTCAATGGCTTCACTTTTTATATTATAATTTGTGTTGTTGTTTGTAGGTATGGAGTTAAAAGAGGTTGACACACGTGCCTATAGAAAAGATAATTGAAGGGGATGTGTAGGATAAACGGATGCTATGGAAGGAACTCGAGTAACCACTTAATGAAAAGACCAACTAGTTGGACAGAGGGTAGGTGGATAGAGTGAAATGCTCTCCCTTGCCAAAAATCTCATCCTCTTGAGTGGGCAAGTAATGAGAGTATTTATCGCATAGTGCCCGAGCAAATTAGGCTGCTCTCTACGACCCCCCTAAAATTCGTGTTAGTTCATAATTGTCTCGATCACGGTGATACCAGTGGTTGTTAATCACAAGCCACATGTCCCAACATTAACAACACAAATGTGATGTTTTCCTAAACGAAGCCTAAACGCGAGTTCGGAGAGGGTGCGATAGTCAAGGTGAAAGGGGGCTTCCAAGGTTAATGATTGCGAATGGTTGTCGCAAGGCCATGACCTTGAGAGTGCCATATACGCGATGCCCCCAACGTGCTCTTACCTAGGGGCCTTCATTCCTTCTCTGAACCCTTTCTCGAGACCTTTGTCCATGTGCCCGATAGAAGAAACCCCATAATTTCGATCTTTCATCCACCAATCCACATGTCTCATTATCTTATATGTTGATTTGGACCAATATCCCTAATTACCTTAGGAGCCCCTCCAAATCTCAGTCAAGCATATCTTAGTGGGCAGTTGAACCATATATTAGAAGGTCTACTTGAGTAAACTAAACCTTCGAGACTCTGTCCCAAGCTAAAGTTGACGATCATGTTCGTATGCCCCCCCGTTGCTTAGTTCTCCCTTGAGGAGGGTCATATTGCCTTGTCTCTAGGTGGGGACCCCTTGTCTTAGTCCAACGAGCCAGTCTAGCAACGATGTTTATTAGGTTGAGAATAATACTCCCATAGTTGGGAATACGAGTCTCGCTGAGGTTACCTTAGACTTATGCAGTTCCACTCTTGTCAACCCTTGGTGAAGGGTTCATTTTGTCATTTTGAATGCGATTGGGATGTGTTTTGCCCCTATTGCGGTGTTTGCACCTAGGGGGTGTCGCACCTGACACTGTTATCCATACTAGTCCAATTAGAACCCGTCATGCTTATTTCCATGTTAGCTGATAATTGCTGTCACTTGTTTTGTTATGGTATAGACACGTGTTCTGATATTATCAAGTATTACATTGTTCTTTTTCAATTAACCTATAATTAAATCCCTTGTAAGAAAAATTGAACACTAGTGACCCTAATAGTGTTTGATGGTGACGTATATGCGCGTGTAAAGATGATGATGATTATAGGATGGGTTCTATGGGGAGTTGGTGGTGTGGTGTTTTGGCAATGAAGTATGGTTTAGGGGGGAGAGTATGGGTGAAGATGATGGTGACAATGTGTATGTGAAGGGGAGGCAATTGTATAGTGAAATGTGCATACATGAGGGGCTATGTGTGTGTGTGTGAAAAGAGAAGGAAGAGGGGCAATGGTGATAATGGCAAATTGGGTGCGAGCATGAGGATGGGTTCTGGATTGAGGTTGAGTTTGGATTTAATTTAAAACAATTTATTAAGCAAAACAATAACAAAACAAGTGAAAATACTATATTTATTTAGTTAATTTAAAGACATTGATAGGCAAAACGAGTACCTATTTTTTTTTTTTTTAAAATGAAGGACATCCTTGTATTTATGGCAATCAACATAGGTAAATCTCAAGGGGCATAGCCTAGTAGAGTTAAGGATTACTTGTAAATGGAGACATTATGAATTTAAACTTGGTAACTTCCTTGAAGTTAAACCATGAGTAATTTATCTTTTATAAATTCCCTAGTCTCAACTAGGGTTGATAATTGAATGAGTTCGAGCCGAGCCTAAAATACTTATTTTCTTAACCGAGTCTAAAACATTGTTCAAGTTCCGTTCGTTTGTTAAACGAGCTCAAAACGAGCTAAACCTGAGTCCGAGTCTGAGTATTTATATATAAACGAGTCGAGCCTGTCAAATTATAGCTGAGTTTGTCAGACTTATTTTTCAAATCAACTTAAAAAATTATTCAAATTCAACTCATTTAGAAAATAAATCGAGTTTGAACGAGGCAAAAACGAGCCAAATCCGAGTTGAGCTCAAATGGTTCAGTTTGATTAATAAACCTAGTCCTAACGTTGATAATCTATATTTGACTGGACCAGAGAGGAGACTAGTCAAGTTGTACGTAAACTAATCCAAATACTTTGACCGTAATATAAAAAAGGTAGTCAACATAGGCCCAAAAAATTATTCATGAGTGAGTGTGCCTGTTATACTTAGATAACTTAGGGGGAGTCACTGATATTCTTCCTTTTGAAACCGAACTTGTATAATATGCCCTTAGGTTATTTACGAGGCCACATATTTGCTTGACATGCCCCACGTTTTTTTGTATTAGAAAACAGTGCGAGGTTTCGGTTTGGACACCACAGGGCCACGGGCACTGCATATAGATAGAGAGAGAAACCAAGAGAGAGACAGAGAGAGAAGCACAGCGAGAGATGGATTGATAGATAGCTGTGTAGAATCAAAGCTCGTGGATAGATTACAAAACTCTCTACCTAGAAATTTATCTCCTTGCTAACCCTAGCAAAAAGTTTCCATCTTTTCCTCAGATGCATCTGTACGTTTCTTTCTTTTTGAGCTTCAGATACTAGTATTTATAGGACGGAAAAAAAGATAAAAATTAAGTAGAAAATGTTAGGTTTGTTTCACTAAAGATCTGTGACCACCGATCGGTTCATAGAAATCAATCTTGAAATTCTGAATGAATTGATTTTGAAAGTATCTGAATCCGATCCTTCGGATTTTGCAGTTTCTGAGGTATGATCTGTGAGTCCTTTTTTTTTATAATCTTGTTTCCTCGTTCAATGTACAAAGAATCTTCGGAGTTTAGAACTTGTTTGATGATCGGTACAAGTTTTTGTGATGAGTTTATGGTGATCGGACTAGATTTTTTTGGGTTTGCAAAGATTTTGTGTTTTTTGAAGCCGGTTTAAACTTATGGTTTATTACAGTTTTGTTGATTGTTTGAATCTTTTTTACCAAATCTGTGTTTGCTTGATATGGTGAAGATCTTATTTTTTCGCTGAGTTCAATTACTGGTTATAAAAATAGAAGGATTTTTGTAGTTCAAAGTGGAATAGATAGTTGTTTGATTAATGCATGTATCTTTGTAGCTGCATTTGCTTTCAATATTTCCTTCTGTCGGGAAAAAATATATTTTGCAGCACACACTAAAAAGAATCTATCTATCTAGAGCCTTCGACCTCTCTTTTTTGGTGGACCTTGTATGTGTAGGAGATTATTTTCCATTATTTTCTCATATATCTATTGATTTTTAAGTAGGCTCCTTTTGTTTCTTTTTCTGCTATAATCTTTATGTGAGTTTTGTTATTGAGAATCAAATTAATTAACATCATCATGGTTGTGGAGTAAACCCCAAACTTTTATGAAATGTAGCTGATATCTGATGCTTTAGAATCTGATATTCCTTCAGAAGAGAGGTTGGTGAGGTTCAGCGTTGTTCCTTGAAGGGAATTTTCATGCATTGTTAACTCTAACATTTCGGGTTTTAACGTGTCTCTTTTGTTGCATATGCTTTGTTTTGTTGTCTGTAGGTTACTGAAGATCTGAAGGATACTGTGGGACTTGAGTTGGATGTGATTTGCATGGGGTGAGGATGCCAGAGTTGCGAAGTGGTGCTCGGAGATCAAAACGGCTAGGTGATCTTCAGGCTGCACCTCAACCCGTTGACCAAGTAGAGAATTTTCTCTTGCCTACTCAGAAACAAACCAGAAGGAGAGCTGCTGGAGGAGGAAGAGGAAGGGGTTGTAATGTCACAGCTGTAGCAAAAGGGCCATCAGCAGCGGTACCTGCCAGGCCAACAGCTGCGGGTAGGGGCAGGGGGATTAGGCTGATAGATTTAGACCCAGAGCCACCTTGTGAGGTTCTTCCAGAAGCTGCTGCCGTCGGGGCAGGTGAACCGGTTTTTAATAGAATTGACGGAGTCGCAGGTAAAGATATTGCAATGGATGGTGGAAGTGCAGACAAAATAGTGGGAGTTGAGGAAGAAGCAAGCACAACTCCCGTACCTGAAAGGGTATCTTCCTGTTTGCTCATTATTCCTTTCCAAAGTTTTTTTATTTCTGCAATATCATAATTGTTACACGATGAATGGATGTGAAACTGCTTAGAAAAACTAATGTTGCTATTATGCCCATTGTTCTTCCTTCAGCAATCAATATATAGTCCAAGATAAGATTTTTGTGAAAGTTTTTTCCTCCAACTAGGAGTTTCTTATAGGAAACTATTTCCGCTTTTTGAGTACAGGTACAGGTGGGGGGCTCTCCTGTATATAAGACAGAAAGGAAGTTGGGTAAGGGAGGTTTCGGCCAAGTTTATGTTGGCCGAAGGGTAAGTGGTGGCACCGAGAGAACAGGACCAGATGCGACTGAGGTACTATTTCACACATCATAACTGTGCATGTGATTTCAGTGGCCATATCCTTTTAAAGCTGACATGCAAGATTCTTTTCGTAGGTTGCATTGAAGTTTGAGCACAGAAATAGTAAGGGTTGCAACTATGGGCCTCCTTATGAGTGGCAAGTGTACAAGTAAGCACCATATTTAAATTTCATGATGCATATGATGCTGTATTTTCTCAAACTTCAGATGTCTTAGATTCATTATTCCCATTTGTTGACTAAAAAGCACGCTGAATGGATGTTATGGCATTCCATGGGTCCACTACAAAGGTCGCCAAGGAGATTTTTACATTCTGGTGAGGTTTGATTTGCAACTCATTGTCATCAGGAGTCCCTTAGTTGCGTATTGTTACTTGAGGAAATTAAAGAGATGTTTTAAACAAATATTTGGAATATGGAAATTTTCAGGTAATGGACATGCTTGGACCTAGTCTTTGGGATGTTTGGAATTCTTTAGGCCAGTCGTAAGACAACTCTCTCTCTCTCTCTCTCTCCTCCCATGCGCACACATGGTACTTGCTCTTATGCACATACACTATAGTTGTTTGTTTATGATAGTACATGCAACAGGATGTCACCAACTATGGTGGCTTGCATTGCGGTGGAGGCTATATCAATTCTTGAAAAGCTTCACTTGAAGGGGTGAGTTCAACTGTTCAAGTCCTATTGATAAAATCTATGCTTCCTCCTCGCTATGTTTCTTCCCCTTGTCCACAGAACTACCCACAAAGGTCCCACCGATTATTTGTTTCTATTCCTGTATTTACTTCTGTCATGTTGACATTAATTATGTCTATGTTTATTTATGAATGTTAATTCTCCTACCTACACCAAGGTTTGTGCATGGAGATGTGAAGCCAGAGAACTTCTTACTTGGTCAACGTGGAAGCCCTGATGAGAAGAAGTTATATCTCATTGATCTTGGTTTGGGTATGCCATTTTTCTTCTTGTCTTCCATTTTGGTCCCTCTGTCCACCTTGAAATACCAACATTATTATGCTGTGTTAAGCAAATACTTTGATGCTAGGCGACATTTTAATGGATTGTTATCATGCTATGCCTGCGGTTACTATTTATTTTTGTTAATTCCAATCCCTTTTCCGTAACTAATTTTTCTTCATTAATACATTGTTGATTCAGCTTCTAGATGGAAAGATGCGTCATCTGGTCAGCATGTCGAATATGATCAGCGGCCTGATATATTCAGGTTTGTCAATTTCATAATGTTAGCTAACTTAGGCTTGATCAACAATTATTAATGATCTCCTTTGGCAGGGGCACAATTCGATATGCGAGTGTGCATGCACATTTAGGTCGGACAGGGAGTAGAAGGGATGATCTAGAATCATTGGCATATACATTGATATTTCTTATCAAGGGAAGGCTACCGTGGCAAGGCTATCAGGCGAGTTGGCATTGGTGGTTGGATAGTTGTTCTCGTGGTTTTCTCTCAGCTAATAAAGCTTCATATTTATTCTCCTTCTATCTTTGTTTTGGAAAATACAGGGAGACAACAAGAGTTTTCTTGTCTGTAAAAAGAAGATGGCTACTTCTCCAGAGTTGATGTGCTGCTTTTGTCCTGCTCCATTTAAACAGTTCCTTGAAGCTGTTACAAATATGAAATTTGATGAGGAGCCAAATTATTCCAAGCTGATATCTTTCTTTGACAGTCTTATTGAACCATGCACGTCACTGAGACCAATAAGAATTGATGGAGCTCTCAAGGTTTAATTTTTATTTTAACTCATTATTCTATTATTTCTCTTACTGTTGTTATTATAAGACTAAGACATCTTGTGACATATTAGCTTTCCTGTTGCCTTTTGTGTGAACAGGTTGGGCAAAAGCGGGGGAGATTGCTTATAAATTTGGAAGATGACGAGCAACCAAAGAAGAAGGTACGACTGGGTAGTCCTGCTACTCAATGGATATCGGTTTATAATGCACGGCGCCCCATGAAGCAGAGGTAAGTTGGTATGTTGTTCCATGTATCGTTCATAGTTAGTATGTTATCTTGAGTCCTCATATATGCTTCTCAAATAACGTCATTTTCAGGTATGTTCGTATTGTACTTCTGCTTGTGGAACAGCCACTTGCCTTCTAGGACTCCAAACTTTTAATGTTGAATTTTAGCGAATATGATGTATTAATTTCTAGGTATTTCTGATTATAGAGTGTTGCATGCATGCCCTCTGAAGTCTGCAATGCATCTTCCAAAGCCTTTTACATTTCAAAGCTGCATGTCTTGTGGGCAAGTAACATCTGGTGTCCCCCATGGTTTTACCCCTCTCAAAAGGAGGAAAAAAAGGGGTGGGGTTGGTTGGTTAGCGTAAGATGGACTATATTTCTGTGATTCTTGTTACATATGATGACTTCATACTCTCTTTGGAGCCTGGATGTGGACATGGGGCATGGATAGGGTAAAACCTTTACCCAGGTGAGGAGTAACCAACAAATTCTGGAAAACTAGGACGTGGGCAAAAGTACAAAACTAGGGCACACAAGTATAGCAATGAGTATTGTTACATGTATATGGATTCCTTATAGATTGCTGGATTCGTATTTTTATACTAGGAATGGCATAATGTGAAAGATGAAGTTCAACATTTCTTTCTTTTTGGTAAATATAAGGTCAGCAAGTAGTGGGTACACCAATATCTAGGTGTAACATTACCTACAACAATTATTTTGGTGTACATATGTTTTTCCGTTTTCCCGTTTTCCCTGACAAGTGACAACTATTGATTTTTTTTGTATTTAAAAAGACTGTATGTTTGCTTTTTTTTTTTTTCCATTTATAGACTAAAAATTTCCCTCGATAACCATTTAGACAGTGTGGGCCATGTCCAACACATTTATGATAATGTTGAAAAGGTGTCATGCCCAACATCTTCTTTGAAGTGGACATGGCTCTCCCTATGTTTTTATGCATCTTAGATTCTTCCCTCATTTTCTCTCCAAGTAATTCCTCCCGACAAAAAAAGAAAAATGAAGGAAAAGGACAAAAACCACCATTAACATTATTGCCATGCAAATGCTTTGGTGACCTAGACGTGAGTTTCTTGTCTCAAATGGGCAGTGTGTTGGATATCCCTAAAACTTTAGTGAAAAATGTGAACTTATCACATTTAATGTTGTCATGCTGTCACATGCATGTATGTATTCATATGCAAGTTTGTGTTGGTTAGCATATGAACCTCATATGGTAAAACGATGATAATCATGTGGTAGTAGGCTACTATCTGCTTAAGTTGGATGACAAAATCATTATGTACCTTGAAAGGATGACTTGGTTCAGTGAAGAAATTTTTTTAGATTCTAAACAAAGCACTGAACCTTGGTGAACAAGGTCATATACTTGTTTATGGTACACCAGATTCTGTTGTTATAGCTGTACTGCACGAATGTGAATATCCATACTCTTCATTGCATTTCGTTCTTTGCAAATGCACCTATGATTGTAAACATGCTCATGCAATCAAATGTGCAACTATGCTCATGGTCTATTGGAACATAGGCGTAACTTCAACACAAGACAATGATCTAACTAAAACTGAAGTTTGCTATAGTTGTTGATTCTCGTAATTTATGGATTATTTGGCCTGAAGTGATTGACACAATCAGATAGTGTCATTAAAAGACCGGGTTAATTACATTCACCCTTAAAGTTTGGCTGATCCTCGCATTGATGCTTGAAGTTTGTTTTCTTGTAAATTTCATCCAATGACTTACCGGCAAAAAACTTAACTGGAATGCTACATCTCATCACAAAAAAAAAAATTCACATGTGCATCATATAATGCACATGTGCTCTTTGTTGTAAAAAAATCTAATGCTCATTATTGATCAGACTAAGTGTTTTTTTTTAACAGTGATCGTACTAATTTGACAATTTTTCAAAATAGAGTTTGAAGTTGATAGAAACAAACTTAAGGACCAAAGTGGGAATCAAATGAAACTTTGGGGTGAAAAGCATAATTAATTTAATTAATATAACTAATGCAGAAATGGAATATCTTGAATAATAAAATGTTGACTATTTTATCATTTATTTGCTGATCAAGTCCTCGGAATGTTATTTGCTGATTAAGTTAAAGAACTAGTAGTCTATTGATTAGTTGCTTTTTTTCCCTTCCATATGCATATGCATCGGACGTACATGGTTTGTATCCCTTTGGTGCCCTTGCTCTTTTGTATCTTATAAAACAATCTGGACTTCTATATCGAGGATAAGTACATATGAAAACCCTGGATGATATTTAAGTGTTTCTATGTTGATGTAGAAATATATCTTTTTTAACTAGGGATTCTTTAGCAGAGAGGATCGTTTTTATTCTTTTAAAATTTGAATAATAACAGTATTCCTAGGTCAGATAGGTGACTTTGATTAATTGGGAGAGATCCAAATTTGAAGAAAAAATGAGGTTAGAGAATTTTATAAAGAAAATTGTAGAAGGATGCTAGAGGAAATTCTGGTCTGGCTTTGACTTATGGCTTAGATCTGTGTTCAAGCTGCTCAAGGTTTACTGACTCTGAATTCACTAGCAGCATAGTTCACCCAACATGTAAGCATCTTTCTCCGTGTCATAGTAACTGAAAATCATTATTAAATGAGCAGGATGAATGTTGAGAATCTGGTTCTGCACTTATTTTTGCATTGTTTTGTGTTGCTTGTGCATACATGATTGTTTCATGGCCGGCGTATGCCAACCATAATGTGTGTGCAAATTCTGACAACTACGGTGCATGAATAATATGGTGGAGATGTGGTGAACCAGTTATGGTGATATTCTACATCAAGCAGAGCACCAATTGTAGTTTCCCTATGTCTGGTTTTATGGTGTTTCTTTGGGTGATTTTTATCCAGGAATACGAGTATGTTCTTCCTCAAGTCAGGCCCAAAATGGTTCTAGTATGAGGGTTTAATGAAGTGTTTCTTCTGAAAGGATGGAGCTTCCTGATAATGAGCTCATTTTTTTGGATCTTGAGTCTTCTTTTGGTTTGATGAGGTGTATCTGTGATCTGTAGTTTCTTTTTCCAATCTCTTGCGTAGTGTTGTAGCCTAGTACATAATTTCTTTTGGTGTTGTTGGAGTATATATGGTGTGTAATTGTACATTGTAAAAGGTGTATACATGGCAGCCAATCTCCATGGGAGTTGTTGATTGTTCTAATATTTGTTTTTATCCATGCCTAACTTCTGAGTTCAGATAAATGGTTTTTGAGTCTTGATCGATATGTTCATATCAGTATGCTAGTTATTGAACTGTAAGCAAATATCATTTTGTATTTTTGTAGATATCACTACAATGTTGCAGACTCAAGACTCTATCAGCATGTACAGAAGGGTAATGAAGACGGTTTATATATCAGCTGTGTGGCTTCAGCTGCGAATCTTTGGGCACTAATCATGGATGCAGGAACAGGTTTCGGTTCCCAAGTTTATGAGCTTTCCACTGTCTTCCTTCATAAGGTCATTTATCCATTGCATTGATGTTCTAGTGTGCTGTGGAATTCTTCTATAACAGGATATACTGACCTCCACTATTACTGTTTGGAGTCTTATCAGGATTGGATCATGGAACAGTGGGAGAAGAATTATTACATCAGCTCCATAGCTGGTGCAGCTAATGGCAGTTCCTTGGTTGTTATGTCTAAAGGTTAGTTAATGAATGAACTCTTTACAATTTGTGTAGTTTTCTTTTTTCCATATGCACACAAATGCGTCGTTGGGCCATAATCCTCTCGGTTATAACCAAGTTGTTTTCTCTCGTTGCTTTGTTATGCCATTATTTAATGGTATAAATTATGGGATATCTATGTAGTCAGTTTATTTTATTATCTCACTGTAGCTCCTTAATCCACATTCCCTTTGTGTTACTATCTAATGAAACCACCACACTCCATTGCACATGTACAGTTCTTTAACTATAGAGGAAATCTTTTTCCTTTTCCTCTTTTTTTCATGGGAGAGAAGAGAAGGGGGGGGGGGGTGGAGTTTGCATTGCCCCTTTGCACTCCCAGTTGAATTTGGGTGTGCTGGGAGTTTTATACAGGACGTGCACTATCTGGTGTTGGTTGGGTGGTTTAGATGTGTTAGCATCCATGGGTTCAGGGAGGTGGGACTGACGACATCGCTCTAGTCTCTTGTCTGGCTTTTATGGAAATAAAAATCCAGGAAAATGCTGCAGAGGAGTGGGGGCAAAAAGATAATGAGATGCTGGTCTTAGGACAAGCTGATAAAGTGATTGAATTAGAAAGTAGGTTTGGATGTGGGTTATGCATTGGTCTTTAACTGGTGCCTTATATAAAGTAAGAGTTGGTGGCTAATTTTGATCCCAAATGAATTAAGTAGGTTTTCACCTTGTAAGCGTTAGTTTTTGGTAAGATTTGGTCAAAGAAAGAACACGTACTCTTTAGGAGGTGGCTACAAGGTTGATATCGGTCTTTTCTATTCTCCACACATTGGCGTCTAGGAAGCATGAACACTTTATTTTAGTTAGAGTGTCAGTGTTAGATATGTTTGGGATACAACACTTGCTTCAGAAACGTGTTGGACACGCTAAAATGAGTGTCCAATTTTTTTATTTTTAAATTTTTTTAAGGACATGTTGGGGACATATGGCCGATACTCTCGAGGACACGTTTTGAGATTGTTTTACAAAGTTTTGAAAACTTGTCTAACAATTTTATAATTAAGAAAGTTATTTTTGTATTTTAAAGAAATAGTCACATGCATAATTTAGGAAGATCTATAATCACTACATGAACGTAGGACATAGATATAACATGATTTTGGAAACAATTACAAAATTATATACAAATGTAATAAACTTTCTATATGAAAGCAATATGATGAAAAATAGGTTATGAAATTCTTTGAAATTGATGAAAATTAAGATTACGATTTGAGATATTTTTGAAAATGGAAATGTAGTAATCATTGATTGTTGGATCATGAATATTTATGATGAGTGTGCATTGGTTTATGTGGTATTGAATTTTTTATTTGATGATATCACGATGAGAGTTGTTAGAATTAAAGAAAAGATGAATTGAATGATTATTATCAAAAAATATTTATTTTATGACATGATCACATATACATATATAGTATAAATAAATAAATACATAGTATTTAATGTGTCCATCTCTTATTTTTTTGAAAAATCTTGTGTCAACATGTCCGTATGGTGTGTCGTATCTGTGTCCTGTGTCTGTGCTTCTTAGACTGGCACCATTGATACAATTAATATGATTAGTACATAATAGGATAGGTATTTAACAAGGAAATATTCATAACTTACATAGATTATTTAAAAAAAAAACAGTTAGGGTTGGGTGGGCACCCCCCACAAACAACACACAAAAAAAACCAAGTCTAGACTAAGATGGTAAAAGAGATATGACAGTTTATGGTTTAACGGAAAAAAATGGCTGTTGATGGAACACAATGGAAAAACATAATTCATATACGTAAACGGCCCCAGAAGGTTGGGATAAGGGCACTGTTGCGTTAAGTTATCAATCAGTATAGATCTATTCCTAAATCAGTCTACACGTTACAGACACGATTCGTACAATGATTGTGAATAAAAAGAAACACATATTCAATGACATTGATGATGCACTCAAAACTATGAAAACTCATCACGATCAATTGCAAAAAGTTCCAATTAGCCTCATTTTTTTATAAGGATTGTAATTAATCTCTTCTTTTGTTATTTATTGTTTGCATGAATTATGTATATTGGTTCTTAGCTCCTGTTGTTTTTAACGTAATTTTATGTATTAAATATAATATTCATGAACAGAAATGTATCATCTTACTTATTTTTGTTGATTGGGAGAGAAAAATTGTTAGTGTCTACTGAAGATTGATGTCCTGGCTCATCTTTTGAACTCGTTAATCTACAAAAATGGAGTTTATAGCAACTAATTTCTATTTTTCTGGAAGTCCCCTATGACAACTCAATGGATTGCTCTAGGATTAGTTGTTTCAGCCATCCCCGTTACTAGTTGGATCAATCTATTTTGAAAGACGTATACTTGGACATGATATGAATCCACTTTGCATGACACAAGTGTTATCCTGCCTCAAAAAGCGTGGATACGCACTTGGGACATGGTCGTACAATGCAACATAGACGCACCAACACAGATTTTTTTCTAAAGAGTATGACACGAATACGTTAGGGGACACATTAAAGGTAATGTATTAATTATATATATATGTTTACATATTACTATATAATAAAATACTAACATTGTCATTCAAATTAAGGGTTAAAAATCCACAAATCATAAGATATTAATTATCAAGTCATTACCTGTTGGGCAGCAGCTATGAGCTGTTTTGGGTTGGTGATCTTGCATTTATCTTTTCATGGTTCCTCCTTACTGCATCCATGAAGTTAATGGGGCCAACTACAGAATTACAATTTAGCATCGGAACTGGTGTGGCTTTCAAAAGGGACGGTGGGCTTAGGGATCCATCCTTCCTGCCCTATTGTTGAAACTCTTCATCTGGTTTTTTTCTTTCTTTCATTTACCTCCAGTAATGTGCCATTGTGGACCACAATTTTAATTGTCTGCTTTGTGAATCATGGTTTGTGCAAAAATGACTGTGGAAGAGTATGAAATAGATTTTATACAAGATTTTTTTTTTTTGGGTAATAAACTACATTCCACCATTTCCTATGTGATTAAGAAAAGGAAAATGCACTATAAAAAAAAAAGGAAAATATTTTTGCTCTCTTACTTGAGCCAGATTAGCTTATCCTTTTTTTTTCTCCCAAGTGGTGCTAGCTCTGCCTCTCATGCTTTAATTCCTACTTGTGCATTTCGTTATATGTCAACTATGCTTGCATTTTTTGGAATGCCAGTATATCAGGTCCACCTCCCTGCACTACAACTTGAATGGCCACCCTGTTATTGTGCCACCTAGCTTGTATAAAAAAAAAAAAAGAAGGAAAGTTGATGCAAGTCTTGGGGTGCAGGTTTTGAGTCCTTGTGTTGTGCGTTACAGACTAGACCCTGATTTACTGTAAAACAATGTGCATAGTGATATTGTTCAAGCTTTTATCATGTTTTCTAACAAATCGGATCTAGATGACCCAATGACTGTTTCTTTTCTCTTGGCACCTCCTGCGTATCTTTAGGAACTCCTTACACCCAACAGTCCTACAAAGTGAGTGAATCCTTTCCTTTCAAGTGGATTAATAAAAAATGGAAAGAAGGTTTTCATGTCACATCCATGACTACTGCTGGCAATCGCTGGGGTGTGGTAATGTCAAGAAATGCTGGATATTCTGAACAGGTATGACTGTGTAATCAAGATTCAATTTAATCTTTTTATGGCTAATAACAAATTTAATCTTTACATGACAGTGCCTTCCTGATCATGTCAATTTGTTACTGGAAAGCTGATACTGATCATGTCAACTTGTTACTGGAAAGCTGATACTCACTTATCGAACTTTCTGATACCAGGTTGTAGAGCTTGATTTTCTATACCCAAGTGAAGGAATACACAGGCGATGGGAGAGTGGTTACAGGATAACTTCTATGGCTGCCACTGCTGATCAAGCAGCCTTCATACTGAGTATACCAAGACGGAAGATGATGGATGAGACTCAAGAGACCCTGCGTACATCTGCCTTCCCGAGCACCCATGTAAAGGTGATTTCCTTTTTCTGAATTTGAATCTTTTCAGACAACTTCATATTTAATCCTGTTGAGATGCACTTGACTTCATAGTTTTTTATAAAATGGGTGAATCACATTATCACCTTTAAGAAGTGGGCAAAACAGCACAGAAACACACTGACTTTTAACAAACAACATAAATATCCGTTATAGGAGTTCTTAACTGAATTTTAGTTTTTTGAGGAAATTAACTGAAGGTTGGTAATGAAATAATAATATTACCGATTCTTGACTAGTTAAATAAATCGAAATATAAAAATTATGGATGAATGTGAGGGCTTTAAAACTTATATTTTGTCGATGTTGGCATAGAAATGATCTCTGTTACAAGATAGAAACTCATGGAGTCCTTGTGGCATTCTTAAAATGTCGGGAGATCAAAAATGTTTTATCAGAACAAACTTAATGTTCGTGTAATCCAGAATGAAGATACTGGGAGCAGAACATGGTGCACACTCATAAATTTTGACTCCTATTCCCTTCTTCAGTATGGAGACCAGTTGTCGTAGTTGGGAAATATTACTGATGATGTGTTACTAGAACCCCTTTTTGTATGTCTTGTTTCATCTGGTTTGGTTTTAAATATAAATGCTAGTCCATTATCTTTCCCCCTTTTTTTTTGTTTTCAGGAAAAATGGTCAAAAAATCTTTACATCGCTTCTATTTGTTACGGGCGAACTGTTTGTTAAGGAGGATTGGGATGCATAGTCGGGATTTCTGCAAAGAATGAAGATGGATAGGACATAAATTTAAAAACTGAGGGTTTCATTCAGACTTGAGTTTTTTGCATCAGGTGGATTAGCTTTCTCCTATGATCAGAAGAGAATGCTGCTGGCTTTTCATGTAAAATCTTCCTTCTATGCTTCCGTAAATTGTAAAAAGTACAGAGTACAAAATCAGAAGTTGCCAATGTGAACTGAACAGACATTGGCAGGTGGAGACAAATTTCGCGAGACCTATAGTTTTCAGTGACCTGGCAATTCTAGCCAAGGTATGTTTTCATAGCTGTTATTTTACTCATAAAGTTTACAATGGGCTACAAATGCTCACATAAATTGAATTGAAATGGTTTGAAGTTTGTATTATCAATATGAGATACCATCACAATAGTTTTGTTCTCTTAGGAAGAAAACCCTCAACCACCCCCGTCCCCAACAAACCAAACCAAGTTTTATGTTTTAATAATTTGGGGTCAGTTATATGAATTCTTCGTCACCATTCATTTTAGTCGTGTTATATGTTTATTGAAGTTAAATATTTTCATATATTTTCTTATTATTTTTGTTTAATATTAATTTAGGTCTACATTTACTTTTAGTACCATTAAGATAAATTTTATCACTTTTTCTAACCGGTGTCTCTATCGGCTTTTGTTGAACATGCTCAAACTATGTTAATTTATTCTCTCTCAACTTATCTTCAATTGAATTTTCTCATACCATTTCTCTAATATGGTCATTTTGCATTCTATCATTTTTAGTTTTTTCACACATTAACATTCTCATTTTCGCTACACTCAATTTGTCACTATGTTATTTTTTAGTTGCCTAATATTCCATCTCATACAACATTGTTATCTTTATAGCTGTTCGGTAAAACTTGGCTTTCAATTTTATTGGTATTCTTATATCATATAATATGCTAGAGGTTTTTCTTCACTTAAATCAATCAGCGTTGATTTTATGAGTTGCATCATCTCTAATTTCTCTATCAAGTTTTAATGATCAATCATAGATATCCAAATCGTTTACTGTTGGTATCTCTCTTAAATTTTTTGACCATATTTACTTATTTTATTACTAAAATTGCATTGTATATATTCAGTCTTACTCCTACTTATTTTAAACCCTTTTAACTCTAGTTTCTCCCTCCAAATTGTTAGCTTATTGTTAATCCTCTTTTGAATTTCATCAACTAAGACAATATCATCTACACATAACATACATCATGAGATATCATATTGAATGTACCTTGGGAGTTCATTCATAACTAGGGCGAATAAGTATGGACTTGGGGCTGGTTCTTAGTGTAATCTCAGGGTGATTAAAATTTTTTTATTTTCTTCCACAGATGACCTAATTGTAGTCATTGTCTTGTCATACGTATCCTTTATTACTCTCCTTCCCCAACCCCAAAACCACCACAAAAAAAAAAAAAAAAAAAAAAAAAGAACACACAAAACAATAACCACCTCTTCCTTATGCATCTGCATTACGCTCGAGTATGTGAAGCTGCTTTAGCAAAGGAAATCAAGAACAAGGAAACTACAATGGCCAAACTAAGCCATCTACTTGGAACATACTTCAATGCTTTATCATTGACCTCTCAAATAACCATTCCCTTGCCCTTGGGAAAAAAAAATTGCTCTAATTCCATAACCTTTCCCTTGCCCTCGGGAAAAAAAATCTCTAATTCCATTTTTTTTATAATAGAAAAATAGTTTTTGGACTCCTTATTGTTATGTAAATTAGGGATGTGCACAATTACCCACAAATCCCACTCATCATCAATACAGGTGAGTGATCTTAATCTCTACTATCTCGTCACCATGCTACTCCTCAAGGACAGTTTCGCCTTATAGATGCGTTTGCTCTTTAGCATAAAAAGCCTCGTGTTGGTTGATGTTTCCTTCAATTCAATAGAAGGTGAAATTCCATTATTTGGGGGTAAATATTCAATACAATGGTGACACTACGTCATTACTGTCACGTGGTGTCATCATTTAAAATAAAAAACTACAAGTGGATAAAACGAATCTTAATAATCTTATATGTTGATGAGTAAATGTGTGTATAAAGTGAATTGTACTAATCCTATATATTGATGATTGAACGTAGTGATTACTGGTAGTTATGAAAATAGTAGAGTTCACTTTGCCAATGAGATGTGGGATGGACCCTGTGAGCCCTTCCTCGTTCTACATCTTTTTGGATGATAAGACACGTTTTTGCATGTTTTATCCCGCCTTTGCTCCACTATCAACCACCAAAATGGTTATGTTGTCAGCCCTGCTTTCCTATCCCGTGACAAGCTCGTTCGCTAAGTCTGAACTCAAACTTTATCGAAAATAACGGCTCTCTTCGATGCTAGCAATCGTTTTTAGTTTTTTATTAGATGATGATATCACATGACGGAAATGATGTTGCATTAAATATTATCTCCAGGATTTGGTCTTGTAACTTTAGCCAAACTTCTTCATCTCAACCTGGGATAGAATAGCTTTAATGGTTCCATTCCTCCTCCGTTGTTGCCTTTGAGGTATCCACGACACCTCAAGTATTTCAAGCCATTAAATTTGGATGCGTTTTGTTTCCATAGAAATCTCTCTTCTGAGATCGGAAACCTCACAGAATTGCATACACTGTCGCATTGCCAACACATATTTTCAAGTGACAATTGATGTTTTTGTGTAGTGATCCAGCTAAGTCTTGGGATAAGTTTTTCATTTTTATTCTAAAACTTTTACAATTATAAAATTTTGTCAAAGAACTAAGGATGCAACTCATTCGGGTTGAGGGTCATCATCCTAAAATATAAAACCTTCAACTCAAATCCAATTTAATCCGAGCAACTTAAATTCGAGCCCAACTTAAACCAAGCAACTCAAACCAAAGCTTTAACCCAAGCAACTCCAAAGAGCCCAACTCGTGATTAAATTTTTGAACTTTTTTTTTTGGTGAAAATTAAAAATTTGAACTCAAATCACACAATTTGAGTTGTAATTCGGATTAAACTCAAGTTTCTCATTAATCAAAACCAAATTGAATTAAAAATAGGGTTTGATTTTTGTAATCAACACTAGAATTGAACCTAAATACTATAACTCCCATTAATCAAAACTAATTAGAAAATAAGAAAAATAAATTTCACATCTATAATAGACTTAAAACATCATTCTTAGGAGTATGACACAGATGTCCTAACATTGGGAAACCCCTTGAATTCAATTTGTTTATATTTTGTTCAAGTCTAAACCAAGTATTACAAACTTCAACCCAAGTATTGAAAAACTCAGATTAGACTTGGGTTAGTATGCTCAAATTGCACCTCTACCAAAACCAAGTAATATTACAGTTTTTAGGGTCTGAAATAGTTTTTAGGGTCAAATTTTTAGATGGTCGTAGCCTCAATTTCTTGGGTCTAAAATAGTTTTTTTATACATAGTTTTAATTAAGGTAAATTTCATTCAGGGTCCAAACTAAAATATTTGGACTTTTGTTCAATTAAGTTTTAACTCGATTTTCAGGCCCCAACCAAATTTTTAAATTCAAGTTCAATTACTCTAATTTTGTTTTTAATGTCACAAATAAATTTTTTTGGACACATTTTCAATTGACTGCAATTTTACTTTTAGGGCCCAAAGAATAACCTTAAACCCAAGTTTCCCAATAAAGTTCCTAAACCTATGTTCAATCAACCCTAGTTTCTTTTAAGACCACTTAGATATTTGATACCAAAGGTTTTAAACTCAAATTCAATTGAATTCCGATTATATTTTTAGAACACTTAGACTAATGGGAGAAGGATTTCTTTCATAATAGTATATAATAAATATTAATGATATGACTCTATCTTATGATATGACTCACTTATTTGATGAAAATTATACCACATTACTTGGGATAAAAAAAAATTGATAAGCATAACAGTTTTGTAGTACTATTTATGTTTTGGTACCTTCGATGTGTGAAAATTTTTTATAGTATTTTCTTTCGTATTCTATTTCTAAGTAGGGCTTCTAAAATTTTCTAAGGCCTCCATTTGCATTACATCATTGATCTTCCCTACTAACAAAGGCAAACACAATTGGTCCAATTCCAAAGAAATAAATACATTGGGGATGATTGAAGAAAACAAATAAATACATTTACAATATTTTTCTAACCTTTTTTTTTTATTAACCAAATTTTAGATATCAATTATCAAATAATGTGACACATGGATAACCCTTAGATAATTAGTAAAAGTTAATAGAACATACTAGTCTAACATGGATTTAATGTGAAACATTTAGTAAACTTTTTTTATAAGTGTAACATTATTGTATTTTCTAGCTCAAGGGTATTATGTATTTTTTTTTCTCCATCAACTTATTTTTTAACAAGCGAAGAGTCCAGAATAGGACAACTCATTGGATAGCAACGTCTGTTATGATCAATTCTCTTCCTTTGAGTTGAGTCAGCTGTCATCCGCTCGAGTTACAAGTTTTCATATATTTTGATTATAATCATCATTTTTCTAGTTGAATGATTTTTTTTTTTAAAAAAAATTATTTTTGCACTTGAAGTTTTAGGGTTGGTCGGACACTCTTGATCATTAAACACTAAAAAAAAAAAAAAAGTTTTTTAGGGTGAAAGTGTAATTACAGTAAAGTAATGGAAATAATGTGATCCCACGAACAGAAACACAAGATGCGCCTTAATAAGGGCAACATGGGAAAAAGAAGAATGAGCTTTTCGAGTTGTTTTAAACCCTAAACCCTAATCCGCCACCAGTCTCAGTGTCCCTCTTTTCCCTCTCTTCAGCTCTGATTGTCTGAGGATGAGACCTCCGAGAGGCCGTGGTGGCGGTGGATTTAGGGGTGGCAGGGATGGTGGTCGTGGCGGTGGATTTAGAGGTGGCGGTGGTCGCTTCGGTAGTGGCGGCCGTTTTCCTCCTCGCGACGAAGGTCCCCCTGCGGAAGTGATGGGTCTGTTCTTCAGTCTTCTGACTCTCTCTCTCTCTCTCTCTCTCTATGTATGTATGAACACACACAGTTGTATTACAGATTGTGGTTTGATGATGGTTTCTGATGTATGTATGCAGAAGTGTCGACTTTTCTACATGCTTGTGAAGGTGATGCAGTGACAAAGCTGACAAATGAGAAAATACCATACTTTAATGCCCCAATTTATCTTCAGAACAAAACCCAGATTGGCAAAGTTGATGAAATATTTGGTCCAATCAATGAATCTGTGAGTGAACCCCCCAAACTTCCACTTATTGCTGGTTATTATATCTGTTATTTTTAAGTATATTTATTTTGTATATTGTTATGTGAAATTTCAGCTTTGTTTTGCAATGTGACTTTTTTTCTTGGTTCTTTATATGTAGTATTTTTCGATTAAAATGATGGAAGGCATTGTAGCAACTTCGTATGCGGCCGGTGATAAGTTCTACATTGATCCAGCTAAGCTTTTGCCTTTGCAAAGGTTTCTTACACAGCCAAAGTATGTTTGCTTTTACTCATTTACCTGTTTAATTCTATTTCTTGTTCTTTTGCTTGTGCAAGAGATTGCTTTTTCTCTTTAAAACAGCAAGAGGTTGCTTTCCCGTTATTTTGTATATCATAGATATAGGTTTGTGTGGAAAAATTAGAAAGGATAAAATACAAAATGACTGGATTAGAGAAATGATAGGAAAAACTTCAATTGGGGACAAGTTGAGAGAGAATAGATTAAGATGGTTTTGTTATGTTCAACGGAGGCCGATAGAGGCACCGGTTAGAAAAAGTTATAGTATTTCTCTTAATGGTACTAGGAGTATGAGTAGACTGCAATTAATATTGAACAAAATAATAAGAAAAAATATAAAAATATTTAACTTAAATGAGCGTATAGCGCATGACTGAAATGAATGACGAAGATATACTCGTATAACTGACTCAAAATGATTGGGACATAAGAATTAGTTTGATATAGGTTTGTCAGTTTGTGCATGAAGGATTAGATTTCTATGCTTTACCTCTAATGGACTTCAGGATAGTTAGTTATATCTCACTTGACTGCCATATGTCCTTTGTCCATCTCCACTCCCCTGTACGGCTTCTTCATGATATAACTCTCTTGGTATATGTGAGATCATTGTTTGCTTTCAAAGAGAAAGATTGTGTTCACTAGTATTAGTTTATATTATGCTAGTTTAGCTCATTTGGTATTCTTTCTCTATATATTGTGTGTGTGCAGTTTTTCAATTGAATATTCATGTTTTGTTATTCTTACAGGGGACAAGCTGCTAGAGGTGGAGGTCGTGGTGGAGGAAGAGGTGGTGGAAGAGGCGGTGGGAGAGGAGGAGGTGGACGTGGGTTTGGTGGTTTTCGTGGAAGGGGTGCTCCAAGGGGTGGCAGAGGTGGCCCAAGAGGTGGTGGCCGCGGTGGAGGATTTAGGGGTAGAGGAAGAGGGTAGAATGCCAATATTTGTATGTTTTTCCATTGGTCTTGTCCTTTTAAGCTATCATTCTGGATGCTTTGGATCAAAATTTTATAATGTTCTGATATTTTAACTCTTGGTTCTTGGCCAAATGAGTACTTGTTCTTGGCATGTTTTTCTACTTCCATGTGCTCTTAACCTTGTTATCTGGAAGTTAATAGTTATTTTGGTTGTGTATCAATTGGCGATGATCTGAAATTGTGTAAATGCATTTAGGATAGAGATCTGTGAGAGTTTCACAATATCCAGGTGATATGTCAAGTCTAAAACCTATTTCAGGTTTTAGCATATCTAGAAATATTGTTGAGAGTAATGAAAACGTAAAGAACTATCATGAATATTGTTTACTGTCATTTTTTGTTTTGTACTCGCGAAAACAATTTCCTGGAGATCACACGCGCCCGTGGTGATTTGTCAGAGAAAGTGGTTACAGCCTACTTGGGGATGGCTTGTTCAGTATTATGCTGAGAAGCATGCTGTTTTATACTTCCTCTAGAGGGAAAATATACGGGTGTGCTGTTGATGCACCTAGTTGGTGCTTTCGGCTAGGCCTTCTCTTTGAGTAATTCGAAAGTTCTTTGCAAGCACAGCCCCTCCTATATGGCAGGTCTTGCGCTCGTTACCCAATAGCTCTGTTCACTGCTATGTTCCTTTCTCTAGTTTGACTACTAGTTCTCTTAAGACAAACTCACTCATAACAATGTCAATTATACTACTTTTATGGGTTATGAATGCACCTTAATCCCGGTACCAGAGGTTCAGCATTCTGTTTTATGCCTTGAACTTGAATTTTCATACTCAAACCTTGCATGATCTTGGATCCACAACTGGGTATGTCAAACAAAGAATGCTATTGCTTTGTACAACCCAGAGATAAATAGGGGAGTTCTATGCTTTTGAGGCGCATGAGATTGAGGTATTGTGTTTTATTACTCGTCTCAGTTAAATATTCTCGTTATTGGTTGTGCCCCTACTCGAGAAAATCTTGCTTCGGTGAGGGTGACATCAAGTCATCATGCCCCTTATGCATGGGTGACACATTTGCTACAATGGCTGGAACAAAGGGTCTCCTTATTTTGTTACAACAAAGGTTGGGATCCCTTGTTTTGTTCTAAAAATGGCAATAGTCTTGTGCATTGATTAGCGGACATTTGAGAAGGGAACTAGCAGATGCAAGGATTTGTACCATATTGCCATCCGATGAGAACAGAAAGCTCATCTGGATGGATAGCCTAAACATAGCCATCCAACTTGAAATTCTTCTCCACCTTAGTCCATTGATTTTGATGGATATATTTATGCTTGGAGCAATGTTACACGGACTTAATCAATAATTGTCATTAATTTCTTTTATTAGGATCCACCACTTAATCAATAATTGTGATTGATCTAATCCACATTTTAAGTCCACATTTTAAGTCTAAATAACATTTTTTTAACTTTAGTTGTTTATTTCATCAATATTCACCCCATTTAAGTTAATGGAATGAGTAGCAGAAATTAATGAAAATGCTACATTGTAACATTTTTAATCAATTAAGAGTGTATTATGACAAATCTAATCTGTAAGGGTATAAAGTAAAAATTTTTGAATCTTTGAGGGTGCAAAATTCAATTCGCCATTGGAAAAGTTAAACAAAGCTAGATAGAGTTCCTTAAAAAAACAGAAGTGCTAGCAATATCTGCTTTGAGGCAGTTGGCTCTTATAACCTCTCGGATTCGCCGAAGTATCAAGGCATGGGTTTCCTTCCCTAAGAGAATGGGAGGTAGTACATGGGGCATTCAAGATCTCCAAGTTGAAATTTAGGTAGATACACAACTACCCTCCTCTAAGAGAGAGATCTATTCAATATGACCATATGCAAAGGGGAGGACATACCATTCCACATTCTTACATTCCTCTTTCGGCTCTTTACATAGAATTATTGTACCCAGAGCAATAGGGAGGCTCTTCTCATCAATTGTAAATGTCATCAAAATTTTACATTCTATATAATGGATCATGATATCAAGAGGTATTTTCTACCAAAACTAGGGATGGCAATCGAATGGGGCAGGGGAGTAGTCTATTCTCATTAGAGGGAGAAATTTTAATTCCCCTCTTCGTCTTGCATGTAAATTTTGATCATCGTCTCCACCACTGTCTCTGTCCATAACAATTAATTTCTACACTTTTAAGAAAAAAAATATAAAACCTCACAAATGGATCTACAAGAAAGATGAAACCCTATTATATAACAAATAGATCAAAAAAAGAAAAAGAAAAGTAAATTATTATTATTTTTTTTTGTAAAGAGAAAAGTGTGTGGGTGAGTGTAGTTTGTGATATTATATATATGTATTAATAAGTGGATGAGAGGGTGGGTGAAATTTGTGTCTTTATGATATATATATATATATATATATATATATATATATATATATCACGAATTTAACAGAGCGGGACGAAGACAAGAAGGGGATCAATATTAATTCATTCCCGCACGAGTTTATACGAATATTTTTGTATATGTCCACTATCTAATACGTATGGTCCATTTGTAATCCAAACAAAGCATGTTCGGACAAATATTTATTTTTTTCCAGCCAGCTGTCCTCCCTAGTTTTGGACCAAAACCATCGTCAAAGGGGATGTGCAACGTTATTTCCCAAAAGTAAGGGGTCTCCCAAGAAAAAAAGGCACAAACCATTAGGGAAGCAAATGTAATATACACTTAATTGACATAAAAATTCCACCGGACTAGATTTCATCATCGAATCAATTCACATGGTCCCTCTCTCTCTCCCAAACCCCCCCTTTTTCCATTACCTCAAAAAGTCCATAACAACCAACATTTGCAAGTAGTGGGTGACACAACCATGACTTTGTGTGCCAAACTAAGTCAATGTCCAGCTGGGAGTTCATGTATGTAGCCAAACATGCTTTAACCTCCATCCCAATAGAAAGTCTTAAAATAGCAGAGGGTTTCTCTGATAACCTTAAAAGAGAATATAGAAGAAAATTTTCCGTCATACAAGCTTTTAAATTTTTCCGGCAGCCGGAAATCGACGTTCTCTTTGGTAAAATGTGTCCTCTAAGGTTCATCTTGGTCTTTTTCTCAGCTGTCTTGGCAGGGTATTTCGCATGGAGAGCGGTTAGATCTTCGACGGAAACTGAGACGGTAGTTTCGGATGACACAACAACGGAAAAGATATCCTCCAAGGACAAACAAGAACTCAAATTTGTGAAGGTACAAGTACAACTATCATTCCTTATTTCCAATAAATTTTTTTTCTTTAACGTTCAGACGTTTGATGTTTTTTCCTCCCAACCACCAATGTTTTTATTCCAAAAAGTCCTAACCTATAAATTTCTCAACTCCAGATGATTCAGAATGGCTTCTGGGTATTTGTTGACATGGCAAGTGGGAAGTACTTGTGGAGGAATCTGAGAGAGATGAAGAATGATGAGAAAATGAAGAGCTGTTAGAAATAAACAATTGAAGAACCAATTTTTCTTCTGTAAACAAAAAAATGAATTACGGGTAATATGAGTTCTTCCTCGCCATTCATTGACATGATCAGTGAAAGTATTTGTAAAGGTTCTTCAAGAGATGGAGAAAGATTTAACTGAAGTCTCATTGTAATAAATGGTAGAATCATCAGGATTTTGTTTCTGTAATCAGTCAATAAGCATAGGAACATGTAGATTTTCAAGTCTAACAAGAAAGATATGGATATGGTAGTGTAGTATCATACTATTGTACAATCTGAAATTGCTGATCCTAAATGTGTGAGACCTCAACATGCACAGAGCCTAATAACACAACATGCAAAGCCTATAAAGTCATTTCCTTGAGGCACACAAATACGTACTAATCCAGCGTTCAAGGCAGAAATCTTAAAAGAGATTGGTCTTGTGTTCAAAGGTCATGATGCAATCCTGCTGGGTGGCATTATGTTTGCATACGTCATCATGTAGCAAAATAAAAAACAGATTTGATTTATCAGTTACAGAATGCAAGTGCTGTAGCTAAATTTGAAATCAACCTGCACCAAATCACAGCATTTTCTGCTCGCAGTTAAGATGGGTATGATGTCCCAAAACCCTTGGTTGTGTGTTCAAATTTGAAGAACTTTAAGATATTTCATCAAACAGGTTGGGATGTATTATACAAATTTTAGAAACTTCATTTCCAACCATGTTACACAAATGTAGAATTTATTTGATGGAACATATGTACAATCACCTTTAAGAGAGAAAGATATATATTCATTACAGCAGCAGCCCTGGCAGCAGATCTTTAGTTTAGATCAACTTGTAGTTTTATAGACATGTACAAAAGAGTGAGAAGCGCACCTTGTGGAAGTGGGGTACACCTTGCAACGTTTGAGCCAACCCACATGGCTACGACTACTAGAGCAACCAGACTGCTGCTGGTTTTGCCACAAACCCAACTTGCAAATGAAAGGCACAAAGTAAGCAATATGCCACCTCTCCCGCCCAATACCCATGCAATCATGTAACCAACCTTATATCCAGCATCCAATTTGCGGTCTACCAAAGCCATTAGACTACTAAACGATAGAGATAATCGAATGCCAATTGTGTGCATTAAAAACAAAGAGAGGAAGGCAGATTTAAGCACTTCAACGAAGGAGCCTCTCTCTTCATCTCCAGATTCTTCTTCAGAATCCTCATCTGTTTCATCGTAGAACGAAAAATTCTCCCCTCTGGCATGATAGTGTTCCCAGTATCTTTCACGTTGCATTCTTCGCCTCAGGTCAGCCCACCTATAGGTCCTTTCGTCTTCTTCAAATTCAGGGGTGTAGTCCCATCTGCCTGTCAATGGCCTGCCAGTATCATCTTGATATCTGAGTGCTCGATCATACTGAATCCTTGTCGTTTCATTCGATAATACCTGCCAAAAAAGGTACAAAACACCCGGAGCCCCTTGTCATATAACGTGGCCAATTCCAAGATATTTGAATGTTCTCATTTGTCAACCTTGTGAAGAATAAATCGTTGCTAAGGTTTCTATTACAATTTATGTCACTGTCAATGGCCCAGCTGACGATATCAGATTTTGCCTACTACTTCCAACCACAACTTCTAGGAGAAACAAAAAAAATGCAATGGGATTTCCGTTATATTCCCAGTTTCCTAGGCATTTAAATCAATAATGACAGTAGCAGAGCTAAAGCCACTAGAGCATTCCAGAGACCATTGGTTGTTGAATAATGAATGAAATTTTCATTTAATAACATTGAAATGAAAGCTAATTTACTGAATGCGAGAATATCTTGTAAAAGATCTTCAGGACTTTGCAATGAAACCATCACAGGTGTTGAATGAGTGTGATTTTATGCTATTGAATATATTATTTCAGGTCTTCGGCAAGTGTTTCCCAAGAAAATGATAAACCACTGTTATGAACAATGGTTGCATCGGCAGGAGTCCATCTACATTTTAGATCAACATATCTATTTGTGCCGGTCTTCAAAGCCAAAATCTAATAATAACAATAACGGAAATGCTAATAGAAAAGAGTGTGTGTGTGTGTGTATGTGAGCGCCTTAGAGAGAGAGAGACAGACATAATAAGATTGTTCCACTGATCTTAATTAAGGTGCAACTGTGGAAGATTAGTATGGTCCCTGCATTTTTTACAATCTAACAACTGCAGAAGATTCGTATGATCCATGCATTTTCTAACAATCTAGTTCTGAGGGTTTTCTCAGAGTACTCTCCACCCATTAAAATCGGCATGTAACAGAGGTAAGAAGGTTAGCTCGAGGAACAATATTCATCTGTATGGGCTGAAGTTAATAGTGTGACACAAACAAAGAAGAATAGAGTTGCTCACATCATAGGCAATGCGGATGCTCTTGAACACCTCACCTGCTCCTGAATCCTTGCTAACGTCAGGATGATACTGCAGTCATGATGTAAGTGTACATAAACACAAGAACTATTAGGGATTATAGACATAAATAACTATTAGTGAATTCCCCCAACCCCCACCCCCCAATACACACCCCAAAAAATTGTTGTCCTCTTCCCCGCACGAAGAGGGTTGGTCTTCCAAAGACCAAGGTAGTAAGGTGTCAAGGCGGTCAATCTAGACTTATCTACAAATAAAGAAAGCCCTAGCTATAAGAAAATCTCTAGAAACTTCTTTAGTTGGATTCTCTTTAAGGCCTTTAAAGGCACCGTGTTAAGGAGGCATTTGAATCAAAACTAGATTTTGGGGTCAAGGGAATGACTCCACTCCTCTGCTGGGTCTCGTTCTGAACCGGGCAAAAAAAACAATTAGCCAATGTTACATGAAATTTTCCCAAAAAAATTAAAAATGATTAATTCAAGGACAAATTTACTACAACAACGCAAGTGTATAGTATATAGGGCATATTTCATCGCTTGCAGCACCACACGAATTCTATTACTCTTTCACTTAATACATCCACTTGAACATTTCGCAGTTAAATTAAAGTGCGCAAAACCCCCAAATTTTATCAGAAAAACCTAATCAAAACCCCAAATTTTCGGCATAAATGGCAATAATTCGTACTCAATCCACAAGAACATAACCCACCAAACAAAAATTTAGACTCAAGTTTACCTTGAGAGCGAGAAGGCGATAGGCCTTCTTGATATCAGCAGAGGAAGCATTCGGAGACACGCCGAGCACGGCATAGTGGTTCTGCTGGCCATTGATGGTTGCCGATGCCGTAACTGGGACCCATAATCGACGACGGGGACTGCGACACCGAGTGTGGGGCCGGGCCGCCCACAAGCCAATCAAGATGTTTCGATTGGAGCTACCACCGCCGTCGATGGAGGTGGGTCCCAACAAGAGGTATGCCTGCATGTTGGAATTGAACTTGTTTCAGGCGTTCATGGTTAGTTTTTGAATTTGGTTTTCCACTGGAAGTGAGGGTACTGGGTAGACGAAGACGAGGGATGCTTGTGTCAATACTGCTAGTGAGAAAGTGATATGGGGAAGGGCGAATTTCACTTTTCACCCTAAAAGATTTTAAATTTTTTATTTTATATTTGTAAAGATTAAAATTTTTATATTATACCTTCAATATATTAAAAATTTTATATTATAACCCTTTGTTACATTTCTGTTAGTTTTTTTATCAATATCAACGGATTGGTTTTGACCAAAAAAATAACGGAAGCTAACAAAATAGTCATATTGCGATATTTTTAAAATATTAAGGGTATAATATAAAAAATTTAATCTTTAAAAGTATAAAATATAAAATAAAAAATTTAAAATTTTTTAGGGTATAAAGTGTAAAAAGTCCTACGAAGAAAGTGTGACTTTTGGCAAATAAATATTGTGTTAATGGCACTTAGAGCCGTCAAATTTTTATGGAATCTCATTTGAGTACCTTTAATTATATTTTTTGGGGGTCAATTATACTTTTTATCCTCAAAATATGTATGGTTTTCACTTCGCTTCATTAGAGGTTTTTTGAAGGGATGCATTTATTAGATAAAGGTCGACATAAATTCTGCCCATAATTGTGGACCATTCAAAGTTTTGTCTTAACAATTTTTAAAAGTAGAATAGTGGCATGCGATAACAATGAAGGTTGAAGAAGAATTAGAGTTTTATTTCTGGATCAAATACCATATCTAAGAAATAGGGGTGTCAAATTAAACGATTATGTGTCACGTTAAACGGCCGACGGATGGAAAATATATAAATTCGTACACGACACGTTTAATAAATGGATAAAAAATCTCAACAGAACACGACCCATTTAATAAACGGGTAACATGACACGACTCGTTTAACTTAATTAATTTTGAAAAAATTATATTAACAAATTTTAATACTCAATTTTTTTTTATTGTCAATTGTACTTATCTCAAATAAAAAAGAATTTTTAACCAAATCTTATAAAAATAAGATTTGAAGGGTTAAAAAAAAAGCAAGAGACCATTGTTTTTTATAGGCAACTCAACTCTCTCTATCTCCCATCATTTTTTAATGTGGGACAAAAACAAAACGCATTGGTTTGTCTTTGTCTTTGAAGTACTCGTCATCTCCTCTCTTTTGTCTTTGAACTACTATTTTAATTTTTTTCTATTGATTTCTTTACTTCTTTTTTTTTTGGCTAATTTTTTAAAATAATTATTAATTTATTATTATATTAATTTTATTTAAACGGATAAATATGTGATAAACGGTTTGACAAGTCTCACCCGAATATGACTCGTTTATTAAACGTGTTTGACGTGTTAATTCGTTTATCACTCAAACTCGTTTAATTCGTATCGATTAATCATGTCGAATTTTGATAACCCTACTAAAGAAGGCAACAAGTGTTGTTGTGCATATAACACTAAACCGGCCTTCAATGTTTCCCTAATAAAGTAATATACTTCTTTTACTTTGAACCTTACTAATTTGGTTTTTCATTTTCATCCCTAGTATTGACAATTGGTTGTTATGTCTTTCCTAATATTTTGGATAGAGTAATGCTACATGAACTTGAAAAGTAGACTTAAAAATAGACTTGATAATCTCAACCATTGATTTAATCTCTCTATGGAAGACCTCTCATTTCTTTTACTCTCTTAACCTCACAACAAATTCCATGAGAATTTAAATGGCCAGCAAACCCAAGCTCATAAACTAAGAGTTTAACTTTTGAAAAAGCACATGGAGATTTATTTATGAGTTGAAATGTGAGATTTTGATCTTTTCTTTTTGTGGTTATTCATAAAGTTAGAACATAATTGTTTACAATCACCCAACATCAACCAACAGATGGTAAGATGGTCCAGAATGTCCTTTCCTCAAAAGTCCTTTGTTTTCTCTATTGCAGACCTATTCTTTCTTTCACTCTCACATCCCTTCACTTTCACTTCCCCCTCCCACTTCTAAATCTCTTCCCTTTGAGCAAATCTACCTTAGCTTCAGTGGGGCCAACTAAACCCACTACACATACCACACAAAGTTCCTAGCCATATTGAAATTTTGCAAATTTTTCCTTCTTTTTTTTTTTTGGGGGGGGGGGGGGGTGAGGGGTACACTTTTTGCAAAAAAGAACAGTTTGACTTGAGTTTAATCAACACTGAGGATCATTTTAGAATATTCAAAGAATGGCATCTTCTCTAGTTTCTTCTAATATGCTGGTTGTTGTTCCTTTTCTTTAAATGTCAAGGATGATATTTCATGTACGTAAATTTAGAAATTAAAGAGTTGTACGAGCATTTTAAAATAGTTAATATTATAATTTTAATTGGTCGTATCACAATAAAAGAGGTGGATTTTCTTGGTTTGGATAAATTGTATTCTTAAATTAATTTTTAAGTTTAGAATTAAAAAGAAAAAGAAATTAAAAAATTATGGAAATGTCCCTCTAATGGAGTTTTTCCAACTAGCAAGAAGGATGTGTCCTCTTGCTCATTGCAGCCATGCATGGGGTGAATAAGTTGCTTGGATGGTATAAGAAGGGGGATAAGCTAACAAATGGATCAAATTGCAAGGAAAAAATAGAAGAAAAAAGAGAAAAATTGAGGAGAGAGAAAGAGGAGAGAAACTTGAAGCTTGCAAACTTTGATCTCTGCATACAGATCACCACTTGCAAAACCAAGTTAGAGTAATATTGTTGGTAGCTTCTAGTGTTTAGGTTTCAAATTTCAGATCTTGATTGAGAAATGAGAAAGAAAAGCTAGAAATAATGAGAGAGTCCCCAACGGTGCGTGCAGTATGGGTTGGGATTGTGATTTGGACCTCCAAACTCCTATTTTCAAGGGATCTCTATCCACACCTTGCTTGCCCAAGTTTGATATCGTTTGACTGTCACACCAAAAATGATTGTCTTGCCCTTTATTGGATCTGATTTTATACACAATTTTTTTACCAAACCGAGTTTATTTCTAGTGCTTGATGGACGCATGCAATTGAATTGATGTGTCACAAGTTAGTATAGAGCTTACTCATGTTATTTGAAGTTGTAACAATTATTACATGTTGAGGTTGTTAACACTCTAATTTGCATGAGTTTAGTCGGTGCGTAACAATGCAAATCATTCTTTGGGTCCTTAATTGATAATTCATTGCTTCCATTTGTTCACCAATCATTAAAAATTTGAAAGGTCAAAATACCTTTAAAAGTTCAAATTTATGCATGAACTCTCTAGTTCATGGTGAAAAGCAATACTAATGGCTTACTTCAAAGACAAAAGGCCAAAAATTTATTTATTTTAATGGTGTGTTATGTGTAAAAGAGATTGTGAGATTGTGACTCATTTTTTGTTGCACGATTACTATGGAACAAATTATATGGCTAGGTGGGGGTTAGGTTATGTTGAGTGGCACCGAGGTCTATGTCATCTATGTTTTGTTTGTATGAGTTGGGTGTTTGAGGGGATAGAAGATGGAAGATCTTGTGGCTTTTTGCTACTAAATGAGTTATTCGGTTTATGAGATTGAATCAATTTTTTGCCATCTTTTTTAGCCTCATTATCTAAGGAATTTGAGAATGTTAAGAGTTGAAAAACATCATGGGAAATATATTGTGGCTTTCTTCTTGGTTTTGATGTATCATTGTGTGTTAGACGTCTTGTACACCATTATTATGTTTTTTTTTGTGAAATTTATCGTTATGCCTATTGCTTTTAATTGGTTATCAATAAAAATGTGTTTGAAAAACTTTGCCCGTGTAAATTGATTCAACACTAAGGTACTATTTGGATGACAATAATCTCAATTGAACATGGGTATCTTAGTAATGAGGTTTATAATTTCAAATACCATAGTAATGGGATGAATATCTTTTTAAAAATGAATTTAATTTTAGACCGGATATTGTTTTAGAAAAGAGCTTAATTTAAGAAATGGAGTTAATTTGGAAAATGAGATTAATTTAGAATTTTATTCTTTTTTTAGAATGTTCATTCAAGGTAGGAATGATTACCACTATTGAAGAAGGTTGAGTCAATCACAACGTCAATAAAGCTTGGACTTTATGCTATGCTTTTTAAGGAGGATTCCATAATTTATGGTGTGTAGTAATGGGCTATAGTAGGTGATAATTGAATATTTGTATGGAATTATGTAAATCAAGTTCTATTATTATATACCTTTAATTTTTCAATTTTAAGCTTGTATTATATTTTTAATAGATTGTGTTTGATTACTTGTGATTGATTTATTGATAATATTGCAACTAGAAAATGAGTATTCCAATATAAAAAAAAATAAAGATTAAGTGGGTTAACAATATTATCAATTTGAAAATATATAGTAACAAAGCATGAATATAAAATTTTAATTAGATTTTTTATCTTTTTTAAAAAAAGAAGAAAATATGTAATTCTTTTATCAATAATAAAAATTAAATATCTCATTTATTATTTTCGCTTTAGACTCCAAAATATCTTGGACACCGTTATCATTGAGATTGAGTTTAGGATACTCATTATCATTAAGAATTTAATTACCATAATAATTTTATTCTTTAATTGGATTATTCGGACAAAAAAAATTACATTATCAAATAATTAATTATTCAAATATGATAATGAAGAGAGGACACGTCTACTCTATTGAAAAAAAAAAATTGGTACCGTACCAACATTTATCACTTTTATGAGTGATTTTATCATTGTTATGGTACTTGTGATCGATCCTTGATAAAACACAAAAAAAATATTGAGTATAACCGTGACACCACATTATCATTGCCACGTTGTGTCACGATTAATAAAAATATAACAAATAAGCGTGGATCCCACATATTTTAGTAACCACTCAATCATGTCATTTAATAATCACATATTCATTTGTAACTTTATTATTATATTATAACACCAAATTTCAATGCGATAACACCGTTATACCCAACATTTATTCGTAAAATACACCTATAAAAATAATAAATTTATTTATTATAAAATAACTCATAAAAGTTCCAAATTTTTTTTTCGAAAGGGATTTAGAAATGGGATTCTAAGCTTAACACTTTTCAACACTGGGTAGTCATTTCCACAAAAGAATCATAGGTTATAAGGAAAGTATTTTCCCACTTTCGCTATGAGGTCGAAAGTTCAAAAAAAAGAAAAAGAAAAGTCAAGCCTCAAGTACTACCACCATAGCTTCGCATTGATTTCCCACCAATACCCGGTCACCGATGCTAAAGTGAGTGCCGGGTGCTTCGCCATCAATGCACAGGACGGACGCGTAAAGAGAAAAGAAGTAGGGTCGTGCAATGCGCTAAATTCTACAGCGCTATAATAGCGCACCCGCACAATAAAAACGTCCACATTCAAAACCCAAGAAAAAAGCAAGGAAAAATCCTCAATATTTTCGCTTCAAACCCTCTTTAGACTAGCTCTTCATATTGGGTTTTGGATCCCCACTCAACATCTGTTTTTCTCTCTCTTTTCAGAAAAAGGGTACCCAAAGGCTTCTCACCCAGGTTCTTGATCTCTATGCTTTCAGTTTGATCTGTTTGATATTGATGTATTTGATATTAATCTTTGGGACAAGTGATGATCGTTCACATTTTATGCTCACTGCAAGCCTGTCATTGGGTTCTATTGAATTCCATTTGAAAGATGATTAATGGGTTTTTTTTAGTATGTTTTTTTTTTTAATTCCATATTGTGATTTGCATTGCCACCTTGAGCTGTTGCAGAGATTGTGTAATGAGTTGGGTGCCTAGTTTGGTTCTATTTTTCTCTATGAAGAATATCCCTTTGTATATTGCTGGTGCCCATATATATTGATTTGATAGAGAATAGTGGTTGTAGTATGAGGAAATGACAAAGATCTTGATTCCCATTCTCACGAGATTGTCCAAGATTTTAACTGATAAAGGGATTTCATTGTATTTGTCTAATAACATGATCTTAATTGTTTATGATTGGATATGAAGATGAATAGTAGCGTGGTTGTGTTTTGTTGTATATTCTTATTCCCTTCAGGAAACCGATTTTCCACTCAGGTATTGTTTATTTTCGTCCGCACAGCCCCTCATCCCAGAAGAATTATAATGCTATTAACTATTAAGTCTTTCTTAGTTTTATGGGTTCTCTCTATCCCAGTTTGTTTGAAAGGAGAAAAATACAACCTTAATACAACCTTAAGTAACTATAGCGAAGGAGAGAGATGGGTGCTCTGATGGAATAAAAGCCTCTCGGTCTGATCCTGAAAGAAGGGATAGTTTGGGATGGGAGGTTGATCTCAATTGTCGATTTTTACTCTGCTGCCATCGATCTGTCCAAATGGCCATTTCGGTTAAGAACAGGCCAAGCAACTGTAAATATTAAGTTATTAACAAATGCTAAGCCAAAATTAAGACAGAGACACAAAAAACAACTATAAATCAGTTCAAGGTCAATCCCAAAAGCCTTAACTACCAGCTACATAGATTTATCTTATTCACTAAGCTCTTTGTATTCAGAATATAATGCTTTCTCTTATGGCCTCAGTCATCTTTCTCTTTTTTAGTCGTCTGGCATTTCATTTTGAAACACCAAGCAGGAGCACCTTTTGCAGTTAGATTGGTGTCATTAATTCTTGAATGTCTGTTTTTGAGTAGGAAAGAGGAGTGTTCAATCTGATGTCTACGTTGGGCAATTCTACAAACATCTTTTGGCATGAATGTCCAGTTGGGAAGCTGGAAAGGCAAAAGCTATTGAACCAACAGGGTTGTGTAGTATGGATAACAGGGCTCAGCGGATCAGGTGTACACCTAGATTGAGTTTTTGTTTTTTTTTTCAAAATCTATTCATTTGTTAACAGATTCTGAAATTCTGAATGTTGTTTTTTCATTTGTAATTCCACTTGTCCTATCTTCCATGGGATTGACATCTTGACCGTAAATCTATGCCTGAGTAAGCTTCAAGTCTCAGACTTTCACCTTTGATTGGTTTACCCAGCTCATTTAAACTAAATTTCACAACTCACAACTCATTTTTTTGCAGGCAATGCATGAACTTTTTTGTGCCATTTCATTGTGCATAGACCCATATTCTTTCTTTAATCGTACCTATGATGCATTTCTGTTATATACTTTCCCTTTGCTGATAAGTACACAACATATTATTGTGCTTCTAGGTAAACTTTGTATTTATTAGAGAAAGACAAATCACCTCCATGCATCCTCACACTTGATTGAACTGATCTTCATTGGTGTTGGTCTTCAACCAGTCTTCTTTATTTGGCAGTCAAGAAGCCAAACTTTGAAGTTGTGCCTCTGTCTAAAATTTGAGTTCATAAGTGAAGGCCTTACTACATAATATAGTTACTTTGGAGCACAACTGAACTTTTTTACCTACCATTGTACTGTAAATCTGATAGGTGAAAAACACAATTACCATATCGTATATAACTCTTTCAAACTGTTCAGGGAAAAGTACACTTGCATGCTCACTTGGTAGAGAATTACACTCCAGGAGAAAACTTTCATATGTTCTTGATGGAGACAACCTTAGGCATGGTTTGAACAAGAATCTTGGTTTTACAGCAGAAGATCGAACTGAAAATATTCGCAGGGTTGGTAAGTATGTTTGCGTAAGTACAACTTCAAATTAAAGTTCATCTGTATTATTTAACCATGACACAAGCTGCTTCATCACTGACAAGGCATTGAGTGGACTTGCGTTGTCATTTAACATGAGATGCCCTTTCATGGATTACATGGACTAAACAGCCCCTTCTGCTGTTGATGTGTATTTATAAACTTGGGCATAACGAGGAAGCTGTTTTAGTCCTACTAGATGCTAGGTTCCAAATGTCTCTGTTCCAAGAATTGCTCTTAAAAGTTGAATAAGGAGAACGCTGCAAGAACTTTTTGAGCTGGTCCAATCTCCAGCAATCTGTAGAAAAAAAGGATCACACACACACACAAAAAAAAAAGGGTTGAAAGATTTAGGTCAGAAAAACACCATTCAGGTTTAATTTCTGATATATGAGGTGTTCTTGTTACGGGGTCTTTTTCTCCTTAGTTTAGTGTTTCATTTTTGTAACTTGGGTTCCTATTTTTTATGCATCGCAGGGGAAGTTGCAAAGCTCTTTGCAGATGCTGGAATTATATGCATTGCCAGTCTGATTTCTCCTTATAGAAAAGACCGTGATGGTTGCCGTGCATTATTGCCTGATGCAAATTTTATTGAGGCAAGGCTTTTAGTGAATAAACTCTTCTCATGAATGGTCAAAATTTTTCTTGAAGACTGAAAGCTGTTAATATGACAACTTTACAGGTTTTCATGAATATACCTCTAGAAGTGTGTGAAGAAAGAGACTCAAAAGGCCTTTACAAGCTTGCACGTGCTGGAAAGATCAAAGGTGTTTTTTTTAAGTATATCTTGAATGCAGCTTCAGAACGCTATTCTTGGTTGGTCATATTTTGTGTCCATTTTTTATAAGTAGCACATGAAGCCTTACCCAAACAAAGGCAAGGAAAGTTATATTGAGGAAACACTAAATACAGGACTTCATTTTCAAAATTTTAAATTTGACCCTGTATCTCGGAAAAAGAGACTGACTGAAATTTGTTGGCAACAATGGTTTGTGATACCGACCTATCCATTTTTCACTTTCCTTATAACCTTTTAAAGTCCCTGGAGTCTCAAATCTCTCGAGTGATGAACTACATTTAGAGTACCAGCTACCCTTTATTGGTTCTTGAATCTCTTTGTTCTTTATTATTGAAACAGAATCACATTCTCCCTACACTTCACTAGGGTGACGTAGATAAGGGGCATACATTCTTGAGCGAATTCATATAAAACTATTCTTGACCAAGACCGGTCCATCTTCCTGACAAGTTCTTTTATAAGCCACAAAAAGAAAAACCAGATTAAAACAAGTTTTTCCACAGGTACCAACTAGTTTGGCTTGTTTTCTAAGTATAGCTCATAACTTTCAAAAATTATGAAAGGCAATCTTTAAGGCTAATGTAGTTAAAAAGGTTTTTGTAACCAAAAGAATATTTGCTACATGAAAGTTTTGTACAAGACCATTTTTTCGTTGAAGGTAGCAGGGCACCTTGGCTTACATTAATCACTTGTATATAGTCCTCTTTGTCGATTTATGATGTACATATTTTGAACACTTCCTTCTCTCCATTTGGGCTGCTGCATACTGCTGTATTTTCATTTTCCTGCCTACAAGCTGGGATCATATCTGAATCTCTAAGTACTCTTATTAAATTACAGGTTTCACTGGAATCGATGATCCTTATGAACCACCATTAAATTGTGAGGTGTGTATTGTAAATTCATGCAAGCTAATCTTAGCCACATATCACCTTCTCTTGTGTTTATTCATTTCCAAATTTACAAACCTTCCCTGTGTTTTCAGATTGAGATCCGACAGAAAGATGGAGTTTGCCCAACACCAGGAGAGATGACAGGTCAAGTAGTATCATACTTGGAGGAAAAAGGATTTCTGCAAGTTGAGGGATCAATTCCACATTGAGTTCATGCTCCCATTGATCTCTGCTTGACTTTCTTTGTCATAGCGAAATATCACACTTTAAACACATATGGCGGATAGACGTCTCATTTTAGGATAAAGGAGAGAGGGCGCATCGTGTTCTCCAAAGTTTATGAAGAGCATTGTCTGGATTGAAAAAAAAAAAAAAACTGTTCTTAGTTTTACATCATAGGTTTTTTGATTGATGCAAATGAGAGATTATGTGAAATGTTCATTAGATGGCATTTTTATTCATGAATTTATATCAAGTACAATCTCCCACATTGCTTTTTTGTATTGTATACTTGTCATAAACGAGTCGAATTTGCTGAGTTTTGAGTCGAGTTTGTTGGGTTTGTTTTTTAAACGAGCCTAAAAATTTGTTCAATTTGGATTCGTTTAAAAAACGAACCAAGTCAAGGTTGAGTAGTTCAGTTTGATTAACAATCACATTAGGTACGTTCGTTATTGGATCAGACTTGGATCGAATTTGACTGATTTATATTTTGATCAAGTTTGAAAGTTTTTATTTGAATTGGTGCAAATGTAATTCAAGCATGAGCATAATCGTAATATTTATTGGTTTCATACCACAATTTGTGGAGTGATTTTATCAAATCAACAAACATTACGTATGTAGTTTATCCTTATACAATTCAAACATGATCGTAGTCCCATCAGACTTTATTAGATCCTGTTGTGATCGTGCAACAATTATGGTGAATAATTAAGAATTAATCAATTAAGAAAGGTAGAGAAAATAATACAGAGATTTACGTGGTTTGACAATATACCTATATCCACAGGAGCGAACGGTCGATTTTTTCAATTATTCAAAGTAGGGTTACATCTTAAGTATTTATATAATTCTAGTACGGATGTATTTACAAAATACCCATGTACCGTACCGCGGGGACGTTGTCCTCTCACCCCAACTAATCAGCATCTCCCCATACATAAAATATATCAATCCCGCAAGGTAGATGTTGTCGCGGGCTTCACTCTGCTACATTTTGCTTCGCTCCACTCCGATATGTTCTGCCCGCTCCAGCATCTGTCTCTTTGCCATTGTGCACACAACAAATATGAGCCACACATACTCTAACAGATCCATATCAAAATTTGTAAAAGACAATATAACGGGTTTGAATACAAATTTAAATAATTGATCAAAAAATTAATTCCCCATTTGTTTAATTGGATTTAATATATTTTTGAATTTTAATTGTGAACGAAATCTAAACCATTGAGGGTTTATTTATTTATCGGGGGTTTGGGCCGTTTTGAAAGAGAGTTAAGAAAAGTAGTTTAATAGACCCGTTAATTTCGTGTTTGGTTATGTTATGAATCAAAACCATAAGTAAAATAATAATACAACAAAATAAAAAAATAGAATATAAGAGATTTAAGTGGTTCGGCTCAACAAGTAAAACTACATTCACGAACGAAACACAATGGTAGAATTTTACTATTAAAGATTGAAAATTACAAAATTCTCAAAACAAATCAAAGAGAGAACTATAATTGCTCTATTACTATTATAAAATTAATAGTGTCAAAAATTTCTTTCCAATTAAAAATGGGGGTTCCCAAGGAAGACCCAAAATAAATAGTGCAAATTCCAAATTGTAAAACGAAATCCTCGTGTCGTCGTCGTTTCTTGTCAAAAACTGAACCCGTTGAAGACTTTTCTTCTTTGATAAAGCTTCTAATTCATGTTGGACAAAATTACCTTTTCCCAATTAGTATTAAACTAATATGATAATTGCACCAAGAACTCTTCACTAAATAGGATTCCTATTTGAGTGGAATTCAAATACAAGTCACAATTAAAAAAACCCAACTTGGTTTGTATTCTATCAAGTCAACCAATCAAAATGAACTTGACCGCTGTTTTCATCAAATACCCCGAATGGTACCTCTCAACAAGTGCAAACACCAATCAAATCTAAGCAATGCTTGAACTTGAGCATTGGTACCGGTTTAGTAAATATATCTGTTGGGTTCTCTGCTGTAACAACTTTTTTTACTATGACAATACCTTGAGTCATAACCTCACAAAGGAAGGAATATTTAACATCAATGTGTATGATCATTTCATATTACATTTGATTTTTGGTCAAATGTATTGCACTTTGACTATCACAAAGCACAATAGTCACCTCCTCTTCCATGACCAAATCACATATCAAATCTCTTAACCAAATTACTTCTTTAATTGTCTCTGATACTACTAAATATGTTGCCTCTATGGTAGATAAAACAACTATAGACTGTAGGATCGCCCTTCAACTTATAGTGTACCTAAATAGAGTAAAAACATAAACTGTCAAAGATCTCCTCTTATCTACTTCACCTGCATAATCTGAATCAACATAACCAACAACTGTAGAATCGATGTCATCTCTTCTACTAAATACTAAGCCAACATTTGTAGTGTATCTCAAATAACGAAGTATCCATTTTACAGCTGTCAATGAGCTTTCCCAGGATTAGCCATGTAACGGCTAACTACACTAACTACCTGTGAAATATCTGGACGAGTGCAAATTATAGTATACATGATGCTACTAACTGCTCTAGAAAAAGGAACACGAGATATAAATTGCTCCTTCTTCTCACTCTGTGGTGATAAAGCTGCAGAAAGCCTAAAGTGAGCGGCAAGTGGAGAGTACTCACGGACTTCAAATTTTGCATCCCAAACCGCTCAATAACTTTTTCAATATATTTGTTTTGAAACAAATATAACATACCTATTCTCGTATTCTTGTGAATCTTCATATCCAAAATTTTCTTTATAGCACCCAAATCTTTTATCTCAAATTTTGAACTCAATTGTTTCTTCAACTTGTCAATCTCTAACATACTCTTAACAACAATAAGCATGTCATCCACATAAAATAATAAATATTTAAAAGAACCATCTGACAACTACCTGTGATACACACAACTATCATAATTACTCCTAGAGTAACTATGATCTACCATAAAAGTGTCAAAATGATTTTACCACTGCCGGAGAGACTATTTCAAATCATATAATTATTTCTTCATCAAGCAAACATAATCTTTTTTACCTTGACCAATAAATCTCTCTGATTGATGTATGTAGATAGTTCTCTCAAGGTCACCATGTAGAAAAACTATCTTTACATCAATTTACTCAAGCTCTAGATTGAGTGAAGCAACTATGACAAACAATACATGAATAGAGCTATGTTTCACAACTTGTGAGAAAACTTCATTGAAGTCCATACACTCTCTCTGATTGTAACCCTTAGCAATTAACTGTGCCTTATTCCTTGCAAATTCAACCCCTGGAATTCCTTCATTTTTCTTGAAGACTAATTTGCAACCAACAGTCTTCATGTCCTTAGGCAACTTCATTAATTCTCAAGTCTGATTCTTATAAAGAGATTCAATTTCTTCAGTCATAGCAACGTCCCAGTGTGTAGACTAATTACCTATGATAGTTTCTGAATATGTGGAAGGCTCCTGAACTCTAAACTCCTTTACTATAACCAGTGCATAAACCACAAAGTCTGCATACCCATATTTCTTGGGGGGGGGGGGGTCTAATTTGCCTCCTCTCCCTGCGTGTTGCAATACTATACTTCTATTACTCTTGTGGATCAGCACCAGAACTAAAACTAGGCAAATTTGTAATAGATTGACCTGAAATACTTTTTGTGAAACTTTCACCTGTAGCTCTACCTCTTTACTATAATCCTATTCTTTCCCTGCAAAAATTACAAACTCTTTTTTCAGATGAAATATGGAAGATTCATCAAATACAACATCCCTACTAACAATAAACTTGGGTGATTTGAGATCAGAACAATAAATATGCACTTCTTAGCCCTAGGCTCAAGTTTGCCATCATTCACATGATAATAAACAGTGCAATCAAATATTTTTAAATTAAAATAATCAATAGGAGTAACAGACCATACCTCATATGGAGCATTTGACCCAATAGTAGTGGATAGAAAAATGATTAACCAAATAGCAAGCAGTGCTGACAGCCTCAGCCAAAAAATCCTTAAACAATCATGCATTAGAGAGCAGATAATGTGCTCTCTCCAAAAGAGTTATGTTCATCCCTTTTGCAACCCTATTTTGTTATGGACTAGACGGGACAAGACGATGCCTGACAATGCTTGCAGAACTCATTAAATTCACCTCCAAAAAATTCTAAATCAATATCTGCTCTGAAATGCTTGACTTTCTTATATGTCTGTTTTTAAATCAAAGTCTTCTATTGCTTGAACGTCCCAAAAATATCATTCTTGCATTTCAAAAAATACACTCAAACCTTTCTTGGATAATCATCAATAAAGGTTAAAAGACATCGAGCACTACCCTTAGATGGAACCTGAGAAGGACCCCAAAGGTTTGAATAAATATAATCAATTGTACATTTAGTCCTATGAATAGTTGTACTAAACTTGACTCTGTATTGTTTCTTGAATATATAATGCTCACAAAATTCAAGTTTTTCAATTTCCTGTTTGCCAAAGAAACCCTGTTTACATAAGACTTTCATGCCCCTCTCACTCATATGGCCAAAACGCATATGTCATAACTGGGTAGTATTTGAATTTAGAATTTTTGAAGATGACACACCTACTGCACCAATCACAATATCACCCTGAAGAATATAGAGACCATTAATTTTTTTTACCTTTCATCACATCTAGGGAACCCTTTACAAAATTTCATAACTTTATCTTCAGCAGAAAACCAGCAACCAACGGAATCTTAAGTACCCAAAGAAATCAAATTTTTATTTAATTATGGAATATGTTGTACATCTGTCAAATTCCTCACAATCCCATCACGTGTCTTAATTCGAACAATATCTATTCAACAATCTTGCAAGCAATATTATTTCCCATCAAGATTGAACCACCATTGATTAACTCATAGGTGGTAAATCAACCTCTATTAGGGCACATATGATAAGAACAACCCGAATCAAGAATCCATTCATTACTAAAATGTTCATCAGAGACAACAAATGTAAGGAGATTATTTGAACTATCAGATGTATCTTTTGCAACACCAGCAACACTAGATGAATCAAAATGATTTATTTTTTATGTTCCCCTTTATATTTCAACTAAAAACAATCTCATTTATAATAACCAATTTTATGACAATAGAAACATTCAAAATTATTATGTTTCTTCCTAGACTGTGATCAATATCAAGATTTTTATTTTTCTTTATTTGAATTTCTTTCAACGGATTGACCTCTATTATTATTAGAGGAATTATCTTGATGACCTTTCACAAACATACCCTCAATCTGAGCATCAGTGCTTTTACCATTTAATTTAGTACACAACTCTTTAGAATTTAGAGAGGAATCCACATCAACTAAGGAGATTGAGTCTCTCTCATACAATATCGAATTAACAAAATTATCAAACGAATCAGGCACGAGCATAACACAATCAGGGCTTGATCTTCATTTCTAATTTTAATATCAATTTTTTTAAGTCAATAATAATTTTGTTAAATTCATCAAGATGTTCATTAATGAGCGTATCTTCTTTTATCTTGAGTGTATACAACCGTTACTTCAGATACAAGCAATTGGTGAGAGACTTCTTCATGTATAAACTTTCTAACCTTTTTCATAGCATTTCAACTTTGTCTTCATCGACGATTTCACGAAAAACTTTATCAGCCAGAGATAACTGAATTGTACTTTGTGTTTTTTCTTTAATATTAACAACTTTAGTCTGATTTGTCTCCTTTGATAGAGATCCGTCAATGACCTTTGTCAAATCCTACTGATGAAGCAATGTTTTCATCTTGATTTGCGATAAATTGAAATTTTTCTAACCATAAAATTTTTATATCTCGAATTTTGTTGCAGTCATCCTGACACCAATAGCTCTGATACCAATTTATTATGAACCAAAGCTATAAGTAAAATAATAACGCAACGAAATAGGAAAATAAAATACAAGAGATTTACATGGTTCGGCTCAACAAGTAAGCCTACGTCCACGAACAAACACAACAACAAGATTTCACTATTAAAAGTTACAGATTACAAAGTTTTCGAAACAAATCAATGAAAGAACTATATCACTATTATAAAATTTATAGTGCCTAAACTACTCTTTCCGATAAAAAGTTAGTGTTCCCAAAGAATACCCAAAACAAATAGAGTAAATCACAAAAATTACCTTTTTCCCAATTAGTATTAAACTAATATGATAATTGCTTGAAGAGCTCTTCTCTAAATAATGTTTCTATTTGAGTGGAATTCAAATACATGCCACATTAACAGGTTAGTACTTTTAATTTGGGGTATTAAACTCGAGTAAATTACACTTTGAACTATTACTCTTATTTTACTTTGCACTATCGATTATAAAATTTCTCACATTACACTATAAAGTATTAATAACAAATGTTAATTCTTTGACAGTAAATGTACATGTGAGGATTTGTATTATCAATAAGAAACTACATATTGCACATGTGCAAGTCAAAAATCAAGAAAAATACCTATTCATAATTTTGCCCTTTTTAAACTTCTCTAACTTACCTTCTTTTTCTTCTTAGCATCCATTTGGTTGCAAAAGAGGTATAATAAAGTGACATTAGGTACTTGATGGAAAACTCTTTGGGATTTCTTTCTCTCATTTGAAAGTTTTTAAAGTTTATCATTATTTATTTGAATGATATAAAATAAAATTGATAATTTAAGATACAATGTTATAAATTTTATAGTTAGGAATACAAAGTGAAATAAGAATAATAGTTCAACTGGAGTAAAATGTAATTTACTCATTAAACTCACATACATGTGGCAAACCCGAGGGGTTTAACTATGCGAAATAACTTTTTCTGTCCCTAATATAAATCAATTCCAAACCCCCCCCCCCCCATTCAATTACTCATCTCTATAATGAAATAAACATGGGTATGTATTTGACCGACTAATGGATAATATAATCATTTAAAACATAAATGTGTGGGGATAATTGTAATAAATTCATGAGTCTCATATACGTGTACTAGCGAAATCCCGTAACTGAAGTCACTGAATATTAAACTATGATACTATGCGTGTATTAGAGAGTATGTGTACAGCTGGAGTGTATATATAATGTGTGAATGTGTATTGGAGTATATGTAACTATGTGTTGTGGATTATTTGTGTTGAGTTTGTGAAATTTGGGAGGGAAAGTATGTGATGGGTGTGTGAAGTTTGGGGGAAAAAATATATCCCATAAGTTCAAACACCTAACTATCTTATTATATGAATGTTATTTATCAAACACAAGTATAAATATGATTCATCTACAAATACCATGTTGACAAAGATGAGAGTTGGGCTTGAAAAAGTTTGATAAACACCAATCCAACCAATCCCTCACCCCAAAACCATCCCGGAGATTCCAGTACCATTTGTCAAATAAGTGGAGGTCGGTCTAATGAAACTACAAAATTTTGGGGCTTTTATATAATTAATCGTAACTTTTGTTGACCAAAATGACCCAACTGCCACTTGCCTTCCAATACCCATATCTGTATTATACACACGGTTTGACCTCCCCCACATTAGGCCAAAGCATCAACACAAGAGAGAGAAGAACAAAAGGATCAACACGAGAGAGAGAGATTTGAGATCATCGGAGGAATGGTGTTCAGCAGCCCACTGTTGGCGGGGGTAGTGAACGTATCTGCGAATGTTTGCCAATACATAGCGTGCAATCCAGAGAGACTGAGCAGCGAACAAGTCCTCTATCTCCTCTTCTGCTTCCCATTCCAGCAGTTTCGCCGCTTCGCTCTCTGCCTCTGGACCTTCTTTTGCTTCCCTCCTCCCAACCCATATGTCTCATTTTCTGACTCCGATCCCGATCTCGACGATTCGCACTCCGATTGAAATATATATATTCATCCCATGTACAGTACCCTTTTACCGTTATTTTCTGTATTCGTCCTTTATTTGATGCTATAAACGCAATGTTGATTATGCAGATTTTGATTTCCATGTAATTTCGTGCGTTAAATGAAAGAAAAGGAATTTTAGTTCTCAAAATAATAATGCGTTGAAAAATTTGGGTGTTTGAGATTTTTGTTCCTGTTATTGGGTTGATGAGTATGTTGTTGTTTCGGCTTGATCTTGCTTTTTTTTTTTTTTTTGAGATCTGTTGTTAGTGCAATTGGGTATTTTTAAATTTTTGGTGTATTGGAATTGGGGTTTTGTTGCATGTTCTGGTATGGGAGAGAGAATGATAGTTAGGATTCCCTAGCTGTATGGTGGAAATGGATTTGCTGGATGGTGGATATGATTGGTTTAACAGACGTCAAGAATAAAACTGTTCAAGATTGTTTTTTCTGTGCTTCAATCAGTTATTATCATTTGTCATTGCCTAATGGCTCTAATCTGTCATTATCAATTGGAGTTGCTATTTTCTGAAAGTGACGATTACTGTCCTTTTTGTTCTGACGTAATGGTATGTCCAAAAAAAAAGAGAAAAATTGTTGCCCTTTTCTGGTTAATTGATGATTCAGCCCGCTGTTGTGTCTTCTGGGCCAACTCATCTTGCTGTTATTTATCCCGATTTTGACATATTTGGTTTTGCAAATTGGTTTTCTTCAGGAATTGTTTTTTTGGCTTCTTGTTTTCTTGTTATCGATCTGAATAAACTCTTAACTATGATGCACTTAATTCTATATTTGTTCCTACTTTTATTAGAGCAGATCAACCATTTTCTTTATGTAATACCTTCACACGGATGATATAGCATGAATTCCCCCATCAAGGGCTTATCATAAGTGAACTACTGGACTAGCATGGATTTTTTTAATCTTCTTTTTGAATATCAGTGGAGCATTCATATAAAGGTTATATGATTAATTTAATTGCACGTATCTAATTTCCCCTGACGCGTTAGGATTTATGCTTTTTATTTTTTGTCCTAAGGCGGAAATGTGTGAGATAATCTTGGCATAAATGAAATTGTATGTGTGTTGGACTTTTTCTTCATACTGCAAATGATGGTGCAAAATTAACTCATTTGTACAGGAGTCTGGAAACATGAGGCTTTTGGATTAGAAGTTTATCTGCTTCATCTGTCCGTTATGATAGGTACTATTTAGGAACCATGGTCCTAACTGTTGGTGGGCAAATCCATAGAGATCACATATGAGATTTGGTTGACATATTGCATTGATAGTCTTGTCTATCTCAGACCACTCATTAGAATCTCACTGAGTGATATTTCCAATTATTAGATTGCCATTATGGTTTAGATTAGGGGCTGGAAATAGAATTTGTTTTTTTGGGCTAAGTATAAGCAACTTGAAGGGAGAAATACTTATCCAAGAAAAAGAAAGGAAGAAAGGAAAGTAAATAAAGCAATAAATTACTGTTTTACTAGAATGCCTTATGAATAGGTTGTTTAGCTTCACCAATACGGGTGTCAATCCCTGTTGGCATTCTGCATCAATTTATCATGTGTTGATGGCACCCAACTCTATTACTATATGACATACATGCCACCGATTGTTTTTCTGAGGAAGGTGTCCTGACAAATGTCATAAGGCACGATGCTACAGGAACACTATCTGGAGAATATCTCTTATCTGGTTGATCAACGAGTCTTAATAAGTTTTGTTTTGTATTTTTGGTTGGATTTCTTATCCGTCATTTGTACTAGTCCAACTTTTTATGAAATGAAAATTTTGTTTCATATGAAAAAAATTCTACTATCCATTGTTCAGGTGCACCATGCCACAAAAAAGATGTTCAAGTCTTCCTTCCATAATTAATATGCAGTTTCCTTGGTTGCTTGATTTGTTTCTTATCGATGTTTGTGTCATAAGGATTTCTCCTTTTTGTAAATTAACAAGTTCAATTATGTTTGTGTCATAAGGATTTCTCCTTTTTGTCGTTGTGCACCTATTGTCACTTGGCATCTGTGTCACGCATCTAAGAAATATTTGTCTTTTAACTGCTACCTAGTATTCTTTTACTAGAATTTGGTAGTCCATTGGCTACCTTGGAAACCTATCATTTTTGTAGCACCACAGAAGCTAGAGTTAAGCATTCTTTCAATTGTTTTTTGTCTGAGAATGTCACTCATTCGGTTTCTTTATTAGGTAAATAAACATTAGTATTGATATCTCCATGATTTACATCAAGTAAGAGAGCATTCTTTTATGCCTGATGGCAAGACAGGAAGTGTGTTGACAGATTTACAAGCATCTGTTGTTATTGGTAAATCTTAGAACTCTGTCCATTGGAGTGGACACCAAACCCTCTCGCCCTTTTATTTATGATAATGGAGTGTGTCCCAGCTGGCTTAATGTTTTATCTTAGTGTGTTTGCTTACTCAGATTGTTATCTTGGTATATTTAAACCACATTCACTGTGTTTCAATTCTTCTTGTCATTATGAAGGTTAAAACTAGCTTTACCTGATAACATGGTATTGGTGAAAATTCTGCAATGGCTTTTCCGTTCAGTTTCTGTTGTATGCAATGATGCACAGACTCTCCTCATTTTGTTAACAAGAGGGTAACACAATCTGTGAATTGGGGCAATGTAGTTGCGCGAGACTGGACTAATATCCACTTAACCAACATCATATTGGCAAGGTTCCATCGTGCCACTAAGCCAATGCAATATTCCTACATGACGCCAAGTTTTCTTAACTAGAGAAGCAGTTCATACTAACATGGATGCTCATGGACAGACTTTTTTTATCAACATTGTCTGTTAGTTCGGCTGGAGAACTTATGGTGTCTGAAGTCCTCTTCATTCATTCTGATGAGGCCTGATAAAAATGTAGTGGAATCTCAAGTGATGCAGAAAAATGAATGTGTGGAGCAGAGGAGAGTGCAATTGGAGAAATATTTGTGGAGACTGTGCTCATCCGGTGATAAGGAGGTGTTCGATGATATGCTCAAACGGTGTTTGATGAAATACATTAGAAACTTTCGGCATGGACTGACTGTGAGCACGGTGCTCCATTGAGGCTTTAGTCCGGGTGACTTCGAGTGACCTGCAAAGGCTCACTTCCCATGTTAGGGCATTGGTCTGATCGATCACAACACTCATGATCGATAATGAAAAATGCAATATTGATCTCAACATTGTATGATTGATTATGCTATTTAAAATTATAACTTATACCTCAAAAAAATTGTTACTTAATCTTAAAAAATTGTAACTTAATCTTAAAAAGTTATAACTTTTGGTATTGAAGTTCTTGCTTGTACTCATCCACTTCAAAACAACTGGATAAAGAGGATAGAGAGGTATTCCATCTTATCCTTGAACATAAGCAGCTGAAGAAAATGTCGTAACAGCCTCATCATCAAATGCTGGAGAACTGAAAGCTGTTTACATGGGCAACCCAAAACTTGGCAGAATTTACTTAAATCTGCTAGCTGGGCCTCTATCATTCTCCTTTGTTCCTGCCTGAAGCTTTTCTTCCGGTACTCATCAAGTGGTCCAAAAATTGCTTTCAAACTCAAGTTATTTAAACACAATAAATTTTTTAATAGTGATGATTGATTAAATTGGACAATTTTTTTTTTTGATATTAAGCAAAAAAATTTCAATTTCATACCTTGAAATTTAGACAGTGACAACGAAATTCACTATCATTGTCATTATCACTGTGACTATTATTGTGATCACGTGACTATCTAATCACATTATTGTATAGTTCTATAAAATTTTGATAGTGACCGTAATTTTTACTGTGATCATGTTACTGTATAATTCTATAGAATTTTGATTGTGAAAATGCACAATGACAATAAAAATTCATATTACGGTTTAGTTCTGTGAATTTTGGACAAATATGATGGACATTGACAATAAAATTTCACTATTATTATAATTATTATTATATTTGTTATTGTATCAGTGTAACTGTTATTATCTATTTTATAATATAACTGTTTATGTATAAATTAATCTTTATGCATTTAATTATTTTTAAGTCCCAAAAACAAATAAGCCTACCCTTTTTGACCCCAAAGTCCACAACTGTGGAACGAGCTCTAAAAATTAGGGGGTCAATCGTGTCATGTTATATCATTTTTGTGTCGTGTCACTTTTGATCGTGTTATTTTCGTATTGTATCACTTTCGATATGTGTTGGATTTGTGTCAATATTCGTGTTAATAAAAAAATATTTAATTTGACTGTAACTAATATAATACTATTTAAAAAATTATTAAAAAAATTATAAAATTCTTATTTTCTATCTACAATACTCGTTAAATAATTATTTTTTATCTACAGTACCCATTAATCGTGTTATTCGTGTTGAACCTTAATTTGACCCATTTTTTACTAGTGTCAACTAATCGTATTATTTTCGGGTTCGTGTCGTGTTTGGTTCGAGTACAGTTCGTGTTAACAAAAAAAATTGACACCCTTACCAAAAACCTTTTTTTAATGAGACAAATTGGATAGTTAATGAGACAATATGTAGAGAATCAAAAACCAAGGTTACAAAGTAAGATTAATATAATAGTTAGAGGGTACCAAGTGTAATTTATAACATTTAAAAAAGGGGTTTGGGGGCATCACCACCGATTCTGACCTTGCGTGTACGTGGGAGGAAGATGGCGTTCTCACCTTCCACTGTACGCTGCTCAATTTCCCCATTTTCTCGCATTAATAATTATAATTATAATTATTTCAACAATGGCCATAGTCGTATCAGTATCAGTCAACCATCTCTCCTTCCTCAATTCCGCCACTCCAAGCCCTTCTTCTCTTTACGCAATCGTCCTCTTCTCGCCATGGCATCTTCCACTCAGTCCACCACTCAGGTCTAATCTAATTTTGAGCTTCAATTTATAATCATTATTGTTGATATTGTTGTTAATTTCTGAAAAATTGAGTTTATCCTTGATAATTTCAATTTAAACATATCTAAATGAACGATCAAAACATGTTTTCGTTTTGTTTCTTATGGTTATTCATTTTATTCGATCAGAATGTATCGGTTGGGGATGCTAGTGGCGAAGTGGATGTATTTCAACTGATTCAAGCTCATGAGGTAATTTAATTTGATCTGTCAATGTTGTGGTAAGTTTTGAATTGTTCTGTTTGGATGGTGGATAAATTTACGTGTTACTGCAGGAAAAAGCCGCGAGGCTTCCTCCGATTGAGGAAATTCGGACGGTACTTGATCACAGCTTACGCGGCATGCTTTCAACTATCTCTCAGGTGTTTTAGCGCTTTATGTTTTATGCTCTTGTAAATTGAATCGTAAGTTGTCTAAGGTTGTTAGTGCCAAGTGATCTCTGAGTACTTCCTCTGTGCTTGCTCATTTTTTTTTTTTTTTTTTTTTTGCGGTTCCTTAAATGAGAGATTGTTCTTTTTGTTAGCTAAAGCTGAAAATATATGATCTCTAATGGGTTGTGAAAGATAAATGATTTGATCAAGGTTCATGGAATGTATTGTTAGTATTTCACTACCATCTAGCTGAGTACTGATGTGGAGGATCGCAATCTTCTTACAAGGGGGGTGTATGGTTTGGCACATAATACCATGTATATTATATTTGGTAAAGTAATATTGGGCTGTACTACGCAGACATACAAATCCTCATTCCTCAATATACGAGTTAGAACTTAACTCGACTCAAAAGCTTATTCCAGTAGGTCTTGGTCCCAACATGGTATCTTAGATTTCTTATTCTCAATCTTTAGCCGACGTGGATACCAATCCATTCACATGACTCTTAACAAGTAAAACCATGTGTTTTCTTTAAGGCAACTATAAACTATTAGCCTTGGGTAAGATACATACCTAAACCTTGTCAATGGTTTTACACTCAATGCCTGCCTTTACTGTCAAACTGAGATTCTCCCACTTGGCAATCAAAAATTTTAATAGTTTACTATTAACAATGGCCTGAGTACGATGTCCTCACATAGTTGAAATATGTTGAAAGGTATACATATGATACCTTTAATTGTTTCAGTTACTTATATGGACACGTTGATTTTAAACTTGTTTTCTACTGAAAAAAAAGCATTTATGGTCTCTCTTTTGCAGTAATCATTTCATATTCTCAGGTTCAAGTCTGCCTTAGACAGGACCAATGCAACATACTACTTTTTTATGTTTTAGACATTCAAGAAACAAGGAAATGTTTGGAATGCATAGATTATATAAGGCAAACTAGGTTTTTATACAATGAAAAATTTATGTGTTCCCACGTAATTTCCATTGTACATCCAAATATAATAAACAGCATAATGCTGGCTCTTATGGAGTTCATAAGGTAATATTTGACCTACTAGTAAATTATTTAGAAATTTTATGATTGTTTTGTGTTTAAGTCATGATATTCAAATTTGTATGGCTGATTTGTATTTTAGTCAAGATATTGAACACTGTATGATTGATTTGTGTTTTAGTCTGGAATCATGATATTCTTTGTTTTTACGCTTTGTTGATTTGAATTTTTGTTTTTTATTTTTTTTATTACCGAGCAATTGTTTGACTGTTATCGCAAATGTTTCACTTTTCCTTTCCTGCACAGAAGCATGAAGGTTATCCATCTGGGTCAATGATTGATTTTGCATGCGATGCCTATGGATCTCCAATATTAGCAGTCAGCAACTTGGCAGTTCATACCAAGGTTTGCACCATAATCTTGGCCAAATTTAAAAATAATTCGAAATGGCAACACCCAATGAGAGTCCTGTGCTTTTGGTTTGCGCAAAGAATTAAATAAATTTGACACTCACAGAACATAAAATAAATGGTAAAATGATTGTAGGATTGATTATTCTTCTAATGCTTGGTACAGAATGTTACTGTGGGACGTAGTGTCCTGCATGTGCCGCTTATATATTAAACATAGGATGGTTTAAGGATATATCTACAGTCTCTTAATAATCTGTCCTGTGAATTTCCCATTCACCCCATTTTCTCTCCTGTAACTAGATTAATTAAATCTTGCTTGAATAGATACTTACAGTCTTTGTTCTTTTTCCTCCCCTGGGCTCCACCATGAACTTTACCGTAACAAATTCAGGTTTTACATAGAAGTTTTGCCTCAGAATTAGATCGACAATCCAACAGTCCCAGCTTGGAGACTATACTCATCCTGGTTAAGTTGATTTGTGGCTAAAATGTGAAAATTTTGACGCTCGCAATGCGTAAAATAAATGGTAAAATGATCATAGGATTGATTATTCTTCTAATGCTTGGTACATGATGTTACTGTGGGACGTAGTGTCCTGTATGTGTCCCTTATTTATTAAACATAAGCTTGTTTAGGGATTCATCTACAGTTATCTTAATAATCTGTCCTGTGAATGGGAAATTCAACCCATTTTCTCTCCTGTAACTAGATTAATTAAATCTTGCTTCAATAGATACTTACAACCTTTTTTCTTTTTCCTCCGCTGGGCTCCTCCATGAACTTTACTGTAACAAATTCAGGTTTTACATAGAAATTTTGCTTCTTTGTGCAGGACCTCTTAGCGAATTCCAAATGCTCAGTACTTGTCGCAAAAGATCCTGAAGATAGGACTGATTTAGTGATAACAGTGCATGGTGATGCTGTGGCTGTAAGTCATTACTTTCTCTTGATGTGTATGTGTTTGTGTGTTCTTTGGGGAAGAGGGGGGAGGTGTGGGGATAAGTATTTTTTTAAGGATAGTTGTGTTTGGATTTATTATCTATTCTTGTTTTTCTAATAGTTTTTTTCTTGAAATTGATGATGCATTTCCCTTTCGTTGAATATCAATTAAATCCTTAAAACCATACGTAGGTTTCTGAGAAAGATAGAGAAGCCATACGTACTGCATACTTAGCGAGGCATCCTGATGCATTTTGGGTAACTCTTATTATCTTATTCTCTAGTGTGCTTTATACTGTGGCTTGAGCATTACGATTTCTTCTAGATGAATCACTAAGACCCCACTGTTTCTGAAGGTTGACTTTGGTGACTTCCAATTTATGCGGATTGAACCCAAGGTTGTACGATATGTGTCGGGTGTTGCCACAGCTTTATTGGGATCAGGAGGTTTGTCTACCATCCAGCTTCTTTTTTTCTTTCCTTTTCTTCCACCCCAACCCCTTTGATTGGACTCATCTCTTTGTTTTCTCTCTTTTAAATGTTTTGTGGGGTGGATGGTTGAGATTAACAGTCATGTGCTTGAGTCTCTGGTTAGTTCAGAGCCTAGACCACAAGAGGCAGTGCCCATTGCCTATTTCATGTTTATAGTTCATCCTATGAAATGATTTGTAATTTTCGTTCTCTCCTATTGACACATGATATCTTTTTCTGCCCATTTGTTTTCCCCTTGTCCCCTCAGAATTTAGCACAGAGGAGTTTAGATCTGCAAAAGTGGATCCAATATATCAGTTTTCGAAGCCTATCTCGGTATGGCCTGCTAATATAGCATCTGTGTCGCGCATAATTTTTTGTCCTCCATATGCCTCACCTTTTAGAATTTATGTTAATCCTTAGTTTTGCTGTCACCTTTTCAGTCCCACATGAACAAAGATCACATGGAAGATACAAAACTTATTGTTCAGCATTCAATATCTGTCCCGGTAATCTGGATTACTGCTTCTACGTTTCTGTCCATACTAACTAGATCTGATCAACTGGTAAAAATAGATGAAATTGGAGTTGGAAGCATCAGTAAAAGTAGATGAAACTGGAGTTGAAAACATATTGATGCTTCCAACAGCTTCAGTGTTAACGATTCTATCAGGCATGCTGTCAATCAGCCACCACTCGATGCCTCTTTACAGAAGAGGAGAGGTGATCTGCTGATAATTACAATCGAAGCGAGAGTCATGCTTTTCTTGTGTTGGTCAGCTTGTGAACTTATTTTATAGCCATGGACTATTTTTGAGAATCACTTCATTTAAACTAAAATGTGTTGTTCTCCTACGTGGTTGCATGTTATGTCTGTGTGAGTGGATACCAGCAGAGACTAAACACTTTCTTAGACTCTGAGTTAAAGGGTGTCGGTTGTATTCTGCACTTGCAGACTGATATGTTACTGAAATTATGTCATCGTTGGATGATACCTTAAAAATATCCAATGCTATTCCTTTTCTGTGATGATTAAACTCAAAATGCTCTTAAGTTTTGTCCCTGAGGTTGAGGACAGTTTAGCTGTCTCTCTTTTTGGACAATGCATATGTGCCTATGTTTGCCATTATATGTTAATTCATTGTTTAAAACTACAGTATATATTATAGGTATTTGTAAGTGTAATTTTTTGATATTATAGCGATTTAACGGGCGGTCTATGAATAGTTCAGAGTATAAAAACCAACTTTATTTTGTTTGCCAGGTGAATTTTGCTTACATGTTGGATGTGGACAGTCTTGGTTTCAATGTTAAGGTGATGCTGATGTTGCTACTTCATATTTTGTCTATTCCAGTTTTAGGACTTTAAAGACTTTATTTTAGATCTGTTCCTGTTATACTATAGTGAGCATTGTGTTCACAGATTTCTGATTTCTTTTAGGCTGGCTATCAAGGGAGCACTTTCAAGCTTCGAGTTCCTTTTACTAGACGTGCAGTAGATAGAAAGTGAGTCCTTGAAAATTTCATGACATGAAACTTTAGACTGATATTTTATCCTCTGCATTTGTGCTTTTCTTGAATTTCATTCTAATCAAATGGATATCTGCTGCAAGAGCCTTGTGAGTTTGATACTTATTTTTCTGTCTGGTTGTGATGTTACATGAAACCACTTAATTATAGACACATGTTCTGAAACTCATCCTGCCTGACAAATACCCGCAACTTTGAAAATTTATTACTAAATTAGGGATAAAAACTGATGGTAAGAAAGTGCATTTAAATTCATCTCATTAAAACAATTCTAATAAGACCCACGGTTATGAAATTACTCAATCATCACAATATCTGCTTATGCAACAAATTTCCTTCAAAGATTTCCAAGTACGGAGTGCCTGCTTAGTTAATTATCAGAACCCATATAACTGATGGCAATGTCCAAAGGGAGGCAAGTTGGGTTATTACTCTCCATGTTACGGAAGTATATCAGTGCCTTGTGTGGCTGCTGGAAATTATTTCGTTGCATGTCATTTTTTCCCATATACACATGACACGCAGATACCAATTGACATATGGCTGTGTGACATTGGCTGCAAATCACCATTATTTGTCAATGTAAGTTATGGGTTAGGATAGTGACTGTTTGACAGTAACAGATTTTGGATTGTGACTTTTTGATAGTAACAAGTATACGTTGGCACATTGTAACAGAGGCCTATCATATTTCTCTGCCTGCATTTTCTCCTATTATGAGATTTAAGATCATAATGTATGTTTTAAGTGCTCTACTTTTTATTAGTCCCTTGGATTTGGAAATATAGATTTGACTGCGATAGTCAGTGCCTTGTTTGGGTTGTGTTGCTTCCTTCTGGCTGGTCAGTTTCTCATTTTTCTCTTTTCCCAACTTTTGCAGGGATGTAAAAACTCTCATAGTTGAGATGCTTCAAGCTGCAAAGGCCCAAGTCAATTGATTCCATAATGAAGACTAAAGGTGTCCTTTTCTGATCCCTGGCGCTATTGTCTTTTTGCTTAAACAATTTCTCATCATGCTACCCTTCCTGCATCTTGTTGGCTTCATTAAAACCAATCATTGAATTTACCTAGATGACATCTTATGAGACCCTGGGATGCATTCATCCTAAGCCAACCTGTTATTGGTGTTTCAAAAAACCCCCAGATTAGGGGCAAGAATAAAAGGAGAAAGTATGACACACCATGTATTTTCAATTACATCACACGCATTGCCACACGTGAATTATTACTGAACCTAATTTTGTAAAATTATAAATTATTTGCAGAATCTTTCAGAATCATAGAGTTTTTGTTAATCATCTATCTTTGTATCAAGTTAGTTACCTTCTTTTCTGCTTGAGCAGTTGTGGAGTGATTAATTTCCTAGATTTATAATGCCATGGCAAAATTTTTACGCATCTTTTCCAGTATCCTAAACGTGTACATGAGTCCCATACTTTTTGAGTCAAATCTGTGCAAAAAGAGTGATAACGTGACTATTTTTGTGGCCACCATAGCTATGTATGACTTACTGTTCAGTTGTTTTGCAAGAAATACTCCTTAGCTATACACGTAAAAAAGGTCTTCATCTTTTTTGGTCCTCTGTAGTTGAGGATATTAGGATGGATAGACGGGGGTACGAACCTGATTCTGGTAATATTTGTATGAAGTACCTGACTAAGAATGGAACTGTGTTTGTCAGTCCAATCTTTTTGAGAAATACAGTTCAACCTTGATTTTCCTTGATGTTCTTGTTCCTAGTGTCTATTACGCAACGTTGTAGGCCATCCTTTTGGAATTGTGAGCACAATAATGATTATATTGCCTTGACATTCTGATATCTTCTCAACCCTTGCATATTGCATACTCCATGATTGTCAGTATCTAGAAATAATAGCTGCATTAGATCCCTATTCTATTTATGCGACATTCATTCCTCCTTTCACCGTAGAAAACTTCTTTGTTTGTTTTTATTGATTTGTGCAGGATCATGCTACCATCACCAATTGCTTTTTTTTTGTTTCACACATGGACGGGAAAAAGACGCGAAGAATGGAAAATGCTCTGTTTCCAGTAGTATCATTGTAAGTATACGCGACGTTGCCTTGCTCTTCTGCCTAAGGGGTCGCTTTGTTACTCGTAATAGAAGGAAAAATCTGCTTCTTGTAAAAATTTTATATGCAGATTCTGTAGTTTCTAAAGGTGGGAAGTCAGTAAAATGGAAATAGAACTATGCACAAAAATAAGCAGCTTTGATGGGTGAAGTTCTAAATTGGTTAATTTTCTGATCTACTTGAGAAGATTTGGATACAATCTGGTATAATTTTTTCATCCTACTAATGGCAGATCCTTTGTACTTAATTCAGCTGGATTTAGTGTCCACGAGTCCCTATCAATACATATAACCTTATTTGCTAATTTAATGTATTCGTATTTCATAGTCATTGAATTAGGAGCAGTTTCTAACCAATGATGATATCCATCGGGAATTCAATAACAGTGTGATTACATCAACAAATAAAGTTAGTAAATTCAGTCGAAGTAATCACATAATGTATTCAGTTTGGATCGGCGTGAATTTATTCCTCATGAATACTCTAGTTTTTTGTGTGGATGATCTGTCTTTGATCGGATTGTAGAGGAGATTAGTCGAGACTTGCGTAAATTAGTCTAGATATCTCTAACTGTTGAATCAAACCTCAGAAGAGAATATCGTAGACTTAATTTGGGATTTTATTTGAAGACTAACTATGTTATATGTGTCAATTAAGCTCCCTAACTAATTTATTGTATCAATTAAACTACTTAATTAATTTTTGCGTCAATTTTACCCCTCTTAATTGACCCCTCAACTATGAAATCTAACTCAATGTGGCTTTTCAATACAAATTTGGTGTTAACTTTAACGAATAGCCTTGCGTGCACATAACATAAGACAATGATCAGGTTATGATCTTGATACAAGTAGTTGCTCTCAATCAATCCCGAATGCTCTAATAAATACATCAATTTATTTCTCTTTTTTTTTTTTTTGTGAAAGGGAGCATAATTTCACTCCCTAGTGGAAATGCTTATTTTTTTTCTTCCTATTTTTTTAGGGGTCCCATCGAAGAAGAAGAAGAACAAAACCTTATAAAAAAAAAAAAAAAGCACTAAATAGACACCACTATCAATCCAACAACACCACATTAGGAGTAGTTGATCTCAGTACTATTAGACTCCAATGTCAATCCAACAACATAATTTTTTAATTTTTAAGTATGAGAAGCAAACATTGTTAAACATTTTGGATAATTTCTTGATTTGTAAGTGTCATTCGTCCGTAACGGTCATGTTAATTTTATCGAATGTTCCACAAAAAATAAGGTTGATAATCGAACTGCATTTTGTGAGTTTAAGTTGAAATTCTTGAATTTGTTTTTTTAAATGAGCTTAAAAAGTTATTTCAGCTCAACTTGTTAATAAACAAAACGAGTTAAAGTAACTCAACTATTTTACATATAAACGAAATGAATTTTATAAATTTGAGCAGAATTTTTTAAGCTCGTTTTCTAAATGAGTTTAAAAAATTATTCAAATTTTATTCGTTTAAAATATAAAAAAATTTCAAATTGAGTACTCTCGAAACCAAATTCGAGTTACTTGACTCAATTATCAATCTTATCCAAACCCTAGCAAATCTGAAAATCCATCCATAGCGTGGGACCATATTAGACAAGGATGATTAACTGAGAATCTCCTTCACAAAGCCAAAAGAATCCCGACTTCCACATTACTCTTACAACCATCTACTTTTACAACTTTTTTTAGAATTTATCTTGATAATAATCCGATACACTTGAAATGAATAATTTATATAGACCTACGTGGTAACAGGAACAAGAATTAGCTGTGAACTTGAACATTCTGCAGGGCCGGCCTAACAGTATAGCGAAAAAAATATGGATTTTAGGCCCCAAATTTTTAAAAGATTTTATAATTATAATTTTAAGTACATCACTAGTTCACAAAAAAAATAATAAATCTATTAAATTTTAAACCATACAAAAAACCTCATAAAATTAAATTCAATCAAAAATTTTATTACAATAATTTGACCCTAAAATCTAATCCATAACATTAAAAAATTAAAAATTAAAAAAAAAATCAAAAATCAACTCATTTACTCTAAAAAAACACACACTCTCTCTCCCGGATAAAAAAAAATTAAAAATTAAAATTAAATACTTTCTTTCTCCATGTGATAAAATAAAAATAAAAATCTTTTTCTTGTCAACATTAACACATTTTTCTTTTGTCTCTCTCACATAAAAAATTAAAAATAAATTAATTTTGCTTAAAAAAATAATACTAAAAATTAAAAAAAAAACTCCATTTAATGTTTCCACTTTAGGCCTTAAATTAGCTCGAGCTGCCCGAACATTTTGAGTTTAAATTTTAACAACTCTTTAAAGTTAAATTATAAAGAATAAATCTCTCCTGAATATTTTTCTCTTGGTGTAAATGACTTTTAACTAAATTGCTAAGAGAATTAGTTAAAGAACGCATAAATTAACCCGACCACTGTTGACAGTTAAACTAAAGATAGATCAAGAATATGAGAGGAATTGTTTGAGTACTTATTAAGACATTAAATTAAATATCCCCCCCCCCCCCCCCCCCCCACAGAGGGAGAGAGAGAGAGAAAGAGAAGCCCTGCAGACTGAGCAAAAGCGCATCTCAAGAGATAGGGTTATCTGAAATAAATCATACTTGCTCATTTTCAAAACTTGAAAACTACTGTACACATACAAAGGTCAATGGAGACTCATCCATATGTCTCCTCTCTGCTCCAATTTCCCAACCAAGCCATTCAAAACTTCAATTAATTGGGTAAAACCCTGAATTTCTAAAAGAGAGTCTCATCTTGGAATTGAATTATTCTTCATTCTGAATCGCTTTCCATGCTTCCCATGGCCTTCAACCCCCTTGGTCTCTGCATCACAACCACAGCCCAAATATATAAACAAGATGGATAACTCTCTCTCTCTCTCTCTCACACACACACACACACATCAACCAACAATCTGGAGAATCTTTCCCATCAATTGAAAGCAGCAAAGTAGAAACACCAAGAGAAGATTTTCTTTTTTTCCTCAAAAAAAAAAATGAATAAAAAAGATTCAAATCAAAGGAAATCCAATGAGTAGCAGTACAGGTATATACCTTTTTAGAGCTCTTCTTCTCCCTCACTTCATACCTCTCTTGGCACATGTCAGTTAACCATGCCCCTGGACTCACCAACTGCTCCACCCCAGCAGAACCCAAAAAAAAAAAAAAGTAGAGTGAGAGAGAATCAATAAAAACCCAGATCACAAATTCATATTTTCTTTTGTAATTTCAGGATATATATAGTGTGTGTGTGTGTGAGAGAGAGAGAGAGAGAGAGAGAGAGAGGTCAATGAAAACATAGATAAAAAATCCATCTTTTTCTTCTGCAATTTGAGGATATAATTTGGATTTCTATATGTACAAGATGTGTGAAAGGACTTACAAGAAGTGTTCTTTGGATGATTTTGGCCCTTTTCTTAGGCCTCTGAGGAGGCTTACAACCTTTCATGGCCATAAAATCCTCCTCTTTCTCTTTGCTTGACAAAGCAATGTACAGCTTTGGCCAAACAAGAGCTCTATTCTCATCCCCTCCTTGTCCTCCACCACCTTCCACTGAAACCTTCCCATTCTCCTCCAACCCCACCACTGACCCTCTTGTCGTATAAAACCTCTCTTCTTTCTCCGGCGACGCCGATGACTTTCGATTCTCCGCCGGAGTCTCAGAATTCCTGTAACTAAGACATACCCACATCAGAAATTCTCTTCTTCTATCAATTTTCTGGGAAAATTTGGGAGAAAAAAAAAGTCTGGGATTTTATTGTTTTTGTGAAGGTACCTGGTGAGACGACTGGGTGGTGGAGGAAAAGAGGTCTCTTTCTGGGAAAGAGTGAGAAAGCGAGATGAGATTTTCCGGCGTATTCTACCACTGTTTGATGGGTCTGAGACATCTGGGTCTCTCACCCTCACACATCTGAGTCTCTTCCTATTACCCCACTGTAACAACAAATCTGTTTCTGGCGGCTTACATGGTCTCTGATTCTTCTCTTCCTTCTCCATATCTGCCTGAAAAGAGCACAAGATATGAAATTAGTTCAGAGACCCATTTGAGTTCTCCTCAACAACTCAAAAAAGAATCAGAGCATGAGAGGGAGGAGAGAGAAATTTCAGTCAAATAACCTCGAGATCTAAGTTTTGCTGAGAAATTAGAGCAAATTCTTCACGAAGTGCCCTGCAAATTCAAAGGATGAAGCATTAGATGTATAGACAGAGAGAAATAATGTTTTTAGGGAATAAGGAAGCTGAAAATGGAAACACAGAGATGAAAAAACAAGAAGAAGACGGCGAAGACATCTTACAATGGTGGTGTTTCATGTCAGAGAAAGCAAACACAGGAAAAGAATGAGATCTCTTTGACAAAAATGAGACGTTTTCTTCAAAACAAAGATACACAGATATCAAATTCTCTCTCTCTCTCTCTCTTGTTTGTCTCTGTCTTTGAATTTGAAGGGGAGGTGGTGGCTGTTTGCCGTGGGGAGGGCTTCTCTCTCTCCCTCTCTCTCTCTCTCTCTCTCTCTCTCTCTCGTTTTCTCAGTTCCTCCTTCTTCCTTCTTCCTTCTTCCTTCTTCCTCATCTCCTCCATTTTTATATCCACACTCTAGCTAATTTGAGTGAATACGATTGTAGCCGTAGGATTGAGAATCTACGGTCACAGATGAATATGGCTGTAAAGCCTGACACTGCCTTGAAAGATGAAACCAAGCCCCTTGTTCCTTTCTGACTTCTCTCACTCAACCAATCACCCATTGGGCTTTTCGGGTCGGGCTTGGGATAACAGTTGGACTAATAGTATGCTGCCTATAGCAGCCCAGTTACTGGGCCCATGTATTGAATTCCACATTATTTGATTTTACCTCCTCACGTGATATTTCGGCCTTGAATAAAACCATAATCCTAATTTTTTTGTCTTTCTTATTTTCTAAAATTGAAGAATTCTTTTTCGTACTATACCTCTAAATGATTTCTTCCTACCATTACCGGTAGGCTTTAAAGGATATATAATTTGAGTTTTTTTTTCCATTGACTAAGGCGATTCTCGTTAGCTCTATTTGGGTTTAGTGTGATTTGAAATTGGAATTTTCTTTAGCCATAGATATTGTTGTGGTTTATTATAATTATTGAGCGTAAAAATAATAAAAATAAAAAATCTTTCAATTGTCACATTTTCCTTGCAAGAAAAAACGAGATATTGTTTCTAAAGATCGCTTTTTTGGTCCAATAGTTGCAACTCTTACATAGAGGTAAAAGATAAAAATTTTAAGGGATAATTCAAGTAGTAACGATGATAAATTGTAAATTCAGTTGTCTTGAGGTAGAATTTTGGTAACTTTTTAGGGACAAGTCATTAGGAATTATCCAACATGAATATAATTTAGTTTCCGGTGTTGATGACTTATCTTTAATCTGATTAGGAAAAAGATTAATTGAGGTGCGCATAAACTGATTTGTATATCCCTGGCCATTAAATTAAAAAAAAAAAAAAAAAGAAGAAGATAAAGGTGGGAGAGTTGAACTTGAGGCCATGCAACTTGAATGGTCCTAGAGCCCTTGGATCATGTCACATTCTTCTTCCTATCCCAACTCAAAATTGGGAACCTTATTTAAGCTTTTTCCACTTCAGTAATGCTAGTGTAATGTCTCATCAATCAAGAAAAACCAGGAGTGTAACATCAAATATGAGACCTTAAGGATTTCCTTAAATACTAAGTTGGTTGTGACATTTGTGATCTAAGATCGAGTTGAACTCGAGATGAATTTTAACTAAAGTTTAAATTTAACTTATTTATCTCAAGAACTAGTTTCGATGTCAATTTCGAATGACTTTCATCAAGCCAATTCATAGGTCCTCTACCAAAATTAAAGTAACAGTAGGCAGCAAGCTAATGTGAAAGCTGGATAAAAAATTGTAGCACCTAATCTAAAAGGGAACTAGAAGTCCAAAAGAGGAACAAGTAATCTAAGGTCAAAACAAACAGGAACAACCCTTGGACCGTTGCCTGTGCTCTTAGACCCATAAAAGGTGTTCACATTGGAGTATTGGACCAACTAGTAGTAATCCACTGTTATGGTATCAAAAAAAAATAGTAATGTATCGATATTTATTATATTTATGGATATTTTTATCACTGTATAACCAAAAAAAGTGACAAAGATAATTACCACAATAATGGTAAAAACGTCCACAAATGTAATAAATCACCCATAAAAGTACAATTTTTTTTTTGTTTAGAAGAAAAGTGATAAAAATAATTATCACAACAATGGTAAAAATGTCCATCATAGTTATAAAAATACTAACAAAAGTGATAAATTTTTGGTTAAAAATGACCCACAAAAATTGTAAAAACAACTATTAAAATAATAATTTTTTGAGATACGATAACAAATTTTTTTTCGGTACCATTGTTAAGTCATAATTCATTAGATTTTTGTTTTGGGGACGACAAGGAGATATTTAAGCATTTTATCGCACATCGTAAACAATAATATGTTAATTCAATCTAATTTGTTGATTTAATTCATTGTTAACGTTGGATTCTTATACAATATTAAGATCTACTATTAATCTGACAATAATAATGAATTAGTCAACCACCGAGCACTAATATAGATTTCAAGACTCAAAATTCTACCCCCATGATAAAAAATTTGATTACTAAGCCCACTCGAGGGTCGAACATAGTTGTAAAAAAGGAGAAAAAAAAAAGAAAACAGATTTCATTGTTCAAAGTTGACCAACCTCTAGGTGTAGATCTCTGGACCATTTGCAGCCGGGAACTCATTATTTTTTTTATTTTTTTTTTTGCTTGAGGAAAAAGGCGGTTGGAAAAGACCAGGCAAAGCAACTCGCAAGATGTTACTTTGAAGTTCACACTTGTCGTAGAATGTTTAATTTGAGTTATAGTTATTAATTGAAAATAATCGAGTCCGTTACCACAATATCATTGAAGATAAATTGAATATTCAACTTCCGTAACAGTATCTAATTATCATAAACTACTAACACAAATGAATTCAAACCATGACCACCGAAAGAGCACCCTCTACTAAGTCAACTAGACTATTAGCTCGGTGGAGTTGGGAAAACTGAAAATATGAACAAAGAATTTTACAATACAAATGGAACATTGTGGTTCCATCTCACCGAAATTTTCTTAACACCCAATTTTTATGCATCTTTATTACCAATTTGAAAAAAAAATGCACTGTAAATGTACATCGTACTCACTGTTGCACTTTAAGATCGTAGGCACGAAACTCATCGTTTCTTTTATCCTGTAATAGTGCCTTACCCCAAAAAAAAAAAAAATCATTAGAGAACTTAATATCATCACATGTATGGAGGGAAGCATGGTCATGGGATGACACTCTAAACCCGCATGGCTCATGTGGATGGAATGCCTCCCCTTCACAGGACTATCTTGTTTTGGTCTCATGAGATTTCGAATTGAGAAAATGTTCTAGACGTTGGCGTTGTTATTTTCGCTATTATAGTGAAATAAACAAAAATAAGAAATATTTGTTTATTATAATAGTGATACATTTTCAAGAAATTACTCGACGTAACAGTGATATCATATTAGCACTCTAATGTAATGTCATCGTTCAATAATAAACTAATAATAATAGAGATAAATTGTAAATTCAGACGTTCTGAATTCGAATATTGGCAACTTCTTGATACTAGACCATGAGAAATTTATCTTTCATGAATATTCTACTCCTGATATGGATAACCTATCTTTGACCAATTGTAGTAAATGATTAATTGAAGTGTGCGTAAACTGATCCAGACATCTTTGATTGTTGAATAAAAAAATAAATACTGATAATGATAATAATAATAATAAACTAACAAAAAAGATCAATGAATCCTACATAATCCAGTAGTTATTCCAATTATGTGATTAATAATATTATTTGAATCTAATTTGGTAATCTAACCCATCACAATTGTTGTATTGATTATTTGGTCCTAAATACTAGAAGTCATTGACAATCCAATGGTTATGAGTGATTAGGTTAATAAATTAGTTCTAAATAACATTACTCTTATGTGATACCTAATAACTAGTCATAACTCCTGTCTAAACATACGATGCAATATAAAATTTAAGTGTCCAAAAAATCGATCTCACTATAAAATAACAATGTCTTTTTTGTTGATTGTAATTATGTAAACTATTACTTGGTGTATTTTTATTGGTCAAATTTTCAATCCTAATTTATGTATAACAAAGATTACTCCTAATGTTTGGTAACTGTCAGTAATTACAGCATCACCTATACCCTCTTAATTATAAATAGATAGATTAGGATTATTGTTTAAGTTTAACTAATTGCCCCTAATCTTGCACTACGTTCATTCTTTCTCTAAGATATTTTCTTTATTTGATTAATAAATTTGTATAGTTGGAGTTCGAATTACTATTAACCCACATAACTAATATTTTGGCTATGGGGTTACTCCTCCTAAGCACAATTACCGTAAATTTTATTTTGGTATATTGTTTTGGTCATCTCGAAAAATGGAATTATTTTGACCCGTTTCGATTTGTTTCGAAAATATAATAGAAATAAATAAAAAAAATTTGAGCATTATTTTTTTAAAAATATTGGTCAAAATATACTAAAATATCTTTAAAATACCTTGAAATATTCCGAAATAATTATGTAAATGTATCGAAAAAAAATACCACGAAATATTTGAATTTTAATTCCATTACTGATACGTTTTAATCTTTTTTAAAATAAAAATATTTCGGTTGTTTAATCTTTGATTTTATATCAATTGCCCTAGTATGGTTTATAGCTAGTGTGATATATATATATATATATATATATATATATATATATATATATTTTTTTTTTTGGTTCAACAATTAGGAATATTTGGATCAATTTACGCTCATGTCAATTATTTTCTTCCCCGGTCCAGTCAAAGGAAGACCATCCATATTAGGACTAGAATATTATTCATGAAGGATAAATTCTTCTTGACCTGGTCCTAAGAAGTTACCAAGATTCAAACTCAGGACGTCTGAGTTTGAGTTTACAGTTCGTCTCTGTTATCACTTGCGCTACTTATTGAATTTTACAACTCGCCCATGTTACTCTCTTAATTATACCCCTTGGTGAACACTAATACTATTAAGACATAATAAGTTGTGACTAATAAATTATTAGTAAAATATATTTATATAATAAAATAATTTACAATTCAAATCTTAAAAGATAAACAAAATAACTTTTACTATTCGCGATTGAAATCGCTTGAAATCTTACTTAAGATTAATATAACAGCTAATATTAACACCCTAAATTTAATAGCAAAGATAGGGTCTAAAGATATGTTTGAAGTGACTTTTTAAAATTATTTTTAAAATTTATTTTTCATAAATACTTTTAAAAAAAATAGTGTTTGAAATCGTCCTACTACTATTTCTACCACCATTACCCCTGTCGCCACCACCCCTACCCCCCCGCCCTCGCCCCCATTGCCACCAATCACAACCATCACCATCTCCTACCATTATTACTGATGCCTACCACCTCTTACCCCCACTATAAACTATTACATAAATTCATTTATCTTTTTTTCTATGTTTGTGATTTGATTTTAAATATAAATAGAAAATGTTTATGATTTATAATTTTTTATTACTCTGTGCCTTCAGGCACAAGTAATAATTAGTTTGATGATAGAATTCATTGTAGTATTGAATAAATTTTATTATCAATCTATTTGTCACCAT